GCCATCCATGCTATGCCATACCATGCCATACCATGTCATCTCATGCCATCCATGCTATGCCATCCCATGCCATACCATGTCATCTCATGCCATCCATGCTATGCCATCCCATGCCATACCATGTCATCTCATGCCATCCATGCTATGCCATACCATGCCATACCATGTCATCTCATGCCATCCATGCTATGCCATACCATGCCATACCATGTCATCTCATGCCATCCATGCTATGCCATCCCATGCCATACCATGTCATCTCATGCCATCCATGCTATGCCATACCATGCCATACCATGTCATCTCATGCCATCCATGCTATGCCATACCATGCCATACCATGTCATCTCATGCCATCCATGCTATGCCATACCATGCCATACCATGTCATCTCATGCCATCCATGCTATGCCATACCATGCCATACCATGTCATCTCATGCCATCCATGCTATGCCATCCCATGCCATACCATGTCATCTCATGCCATCCATGCTATGCCATCCCATGCAATACCATGTCATCTCATGCCATCCATGCTATGCCATCCCATGCCATACCATGTCATCTCATGCCATCCATGCTATGCCATCCCATGCCATACCATGTCATCTCATGCCATCCCATGCCATACCATGTCATCTCATGCCATCCCATGCCATACCATGCCATCTCATGCCATCCCATGCCATACCATGTCATCTCATGCCATCCATGCTATGCCATCCCATGCCATACCATGTCATCTCATGCCATCCATGCTATGCCATCCCATGCCATACCATGTCATCTCATGCCATCCATGCTATGCCATCCCATGCCATACCATGTCATCTCATGCCATCCATGCTATGCCATCCCATGCCATACCATGTCATCTCATGCCATCCATGCTATGCCATCCCATGCCATACCATGTCATCTCATGCCATCCCATGCCATACCATGTCATCTCATGCCATCCCATGCCATACCATGTCATCTCATGCCATCCCATGCCATACCATGTCATCTCATGCCATCCCATGCCATACCATGCCATCTCATGCCATCTCATGCCATCTCATGCCATCTCATGCCATCCATGCTATGCCATCCCATGCCATACCATGTCATCTCATGCCATCGATGCTATGCCATCCCATGCCATACCATGTCATCTCATGCCATCCCATGCCATACCATGTCATCTCATGCCATCCCATGCCATACCATGTCATCTCATGCCATCCCATGCCATACCATGCCATCTCATGCCATCTCATGCCATCTCATGCCATCTCATGCCATCCATGCTATGCCATCCCATGCCATACCATGTCATCTCATGCCATCCATGCTATGCCATCCCATGCCATACCATGTCATCTCATGCCATCCCATGCCATACCATGTCATCTCATGCCATCCCATGCCATACCATGTCATCTCATGCCATCCATGCCATGCCATCCATGCCATGCCATCCATGCCATGCCATCCATGCCATGCCATCCATGCCATGCCATCCATGCCATGCCATCCATGCCATGCCATCCATGCCATGCCATCCATGCCATGCCATCCATGCCATGCCATCCATGCCATGCCATCCATGCCATGCCATCCATGCCATGCCATCCATGCCATGCCATCCATGCCATGCCATCCATGCCATGCCATCCATGCCATGCCATCCATGCCATGCCATCCATGCCATGCCATCCATGCCATGCCATCCATGCCATGCCATCCATGCCATGCCATCCATGCCATGCCATCCATGCCATGCCATCCATGCCATGCCATCCATGCCATGCCATCCATGCCATGCCATCCATGCCATGCCATCCATGCCATGCCATCCATGCCATGCCATCCATGCCATGCCATCCATGCCATGCCATCCATGCCATGCCATCCATGCCATGCCATCCATGCCATGCCATCCATGCCATGCCATCCATGCCATGCCATCCATGCCATGCCATCCATGCCATGCCATCCATGCCATGCCATCCATGCCATGCCATCCATGCCATGCCATCCATGCCATGCCATCCATGCCATGCCATCCATGCCATGCCATCCATGCCATGCCATCCATGCCATGCCATCCATGCCATGCCATCCATGCCATGCCATCCATGCCATGCCATCCATGCCATGCCATCCATGCCATGCCATCCATGCCATGCCATCCATGCCATGCCATCCATGCCATGCCATCCATGCCATGCCATCCATGCCATGCCATCCATGCCATCCATGCCATGCCATCCATGCCATGCCATCCATGCCATGCCATCCATGCCATGCCATCCATGCCATGCCATCCATGCCATGCCATCCATGCCATGCCATCCATGCCATGCCATCCATGCCATGCCATCCATGCCATGCCATCCATGCCATGCCATCCATGCCATGCCATCCATGCCATGCCATCCATGCCATGCCATCCATGCCATGCCATCCATGCCATGCCATCCATGCCATGCCATCCATGCCATGCCATCCATGCCATGCCATCCATGCCATGCCATCCATGCCATGCCATCCATGCCATGCCATCCATGCCATGCCATCCATGCCATGCCATCCATGCCATGCCATCCATGCCATGCCATCCATGCCATGCCATCCATGCCATGCCATCCATGCCATGCCATCCATGCCATGCCATCCATGCCATGCCATCCATGCCATGCCATCCATGCCATGCCATCCATGCCATGCCATCCATGCCATGCCATCCATGCCATGCCATCCATGCCATGCCATCCATGCCATGCCATCCATGCCATGCCATCCATGCCATGCCATCCATGCCATGCCATCCATGCCATGCCATCCATGCCATGCCATCCATGCCATGCCATCCATGCCATGCCATCCATGCCATGCCATCCATGCCATGCCATCCATGCCATGCCATCCATGCCATGCCATCCATGCCATGCCATCCATGCCATGCCATCCATGCCATGCCATCCATGCCATGCCATCCATGCCATGCCATCCATGCCATGCCATCCATGCCATGCCATCCATGCCATGCCATCCATGCCATGCCATCCATGCCATGCCATCCATGCCATGCCATCCATGCCATGCCATCCATGCCATGCCATCCATGCCATGCCATCCATGCCATGCCATCCATGCCATGCCATCCATGCCATGCCATCCATGCCATGCCATCCATGCCATGCCATCCATGCCATGCCATCCATGCCATGCCATCCATGCCATGCCATCCATGCCATGCCATCCATGCCATGCCATCCATGCCATGCCATCCATGCCATGCCATCCATGCCATGCCATCCATGCCATGCCATCCATGCCATGCCATCCATGCCATGCCATCCATGCCATGCCATCCATGCCATGCCATCCATGCCATGCCATCCATGCCATGCCATCCATGCCATGCCATCCATGCCATGCCATCCATGCCATGCCATCCATGCCATGCCCATCCATGCCATGCCATCCATGCCATGCCATCCATGCCATGCCATCCATGCCATGCCATCCATGCCATGCCATCCATGCCATGCCATCCATGCCATGCCATCCATGCCATGCCATCCATGCCATGCCATCCATGCCATGCCATCCATGCCATGCCATCCATGCCATGCCATCCATGCCATGCCATCCATGCCATGCCATCCATGCCATGCCATCCATGCCATGCCATCCATGCCATGCCATCCATGCCATGCCATCCATGCCATGCCATCCATGCCATGCCATCCATGCCATGCCATCCATGCCATGCCATCCATGCCATGCCATCCATGCCATGCCATCCATGCCATGCCATCCATGCCATGCCATCCATGCCATGCCATCCATGCCATGCCATCCATGCCATGCCATCCATGCCATGCCATCCATGCCATGCCATCCATGCCATGCCATCCATGCCATGCCATCCATGCCATGCCATCCATGCCATGCCATCCATGCCATGCCATCCATGCCATGCCATCCATGCCATGCCATCCATGCCATGCCATCCATGCCATGCCATCCATGCCATGCCATCCATGCCATCCATGCCATGCCATCCATGCCATGCCATCCATGCCATGCCATCCATGCCATGCCATCCATGCCATGCCATCCATGCCATGCCATCCATGCCATGCCATCCATGCCATGCCATCCATGCCATGCCATCCATGCCATGCCATCCATGCCATGCCATCCATGCCATGCCATCCATGCCATGCCATCCATGCCATGCCATCCATGCCCATGCCCATGCCATCCATGCCATGCCCCATGCATGCCATCCATGCCATGCCATCCATGCCATGCCATCCATGCATGCCATCCATGCCATGCCATCCATGCCATGCCATCCATGCCATGCCATCCATGCCATGCCATCCATGCCATGCCATCCATGCCATGCCATCCATGCCATGCCATCCATGCCATGCCATCCATGCCATGCCATCCATGCCATGCCATCCATGCCATGCCATCCATGCCATGCCATCCATGCCATGCCATCCATGCCATGCCATCCATGCCATGCCATCCATGCCATGCCAGTCCATGCCATGCCATCCATGCCAGCATCCATGCCATGCCATCCATGCCATGCCACATGCCATGCCATCCATGCCATGCCATCCATGCCATGCCATCCATGGCCATGCCATGCCATCGCCATGCCATCCATGCCATGCCATCCATGCCATGCCATCCATGCCATGCCATCCATGCCATGCCATCCATGCCATGCCATCCATGCCATGCCATCCATGCCATGCCATCCATGCCATGCCATCCATGCCATGCCATCCATGCCATGCCATCCATGCCATGCCATCCATGCCATGCCTTCTCTCCTCGTTATGTTTTCCATCCCCCTTTTGCTCGTTCCCACTTTCCCCCTCCTTTCCAACCTTTCCCCTTCCCCCTCTTTTTTCCCTTCCCCAATATCGTCTACTCACCACCACACCTCACCATGCCCCACCCTTTCCCACCGCACACCAGGTACGGCACGATGCGAGAGGCAGTGCTGGGGGTCACTGCAGTGTTGCCCAACGGGCAGATCATAAAAACGGGCAGCCGAGCACGAAAGTCCTCCTCTGGGTGAGCTGCCCGCCGTGTCTCCCATTCCACTGCCCTCCTGCAGTTACTGCAAGCACCCAACGCAATCACTAGGCCCATCCGCCCTCCCCCCTCCATCACCCCACTCACCCCTCTCTACTCCCTCTCACCCCTCTCAACCCCCTCTTCGTCTCCATCACCCCTCTCACCCCACTCACCCTATTCACCCCTCTCGTGGTCATTCACCTCTCCCCCTTTCCACTGCTCCCTCTTGCTTCAACCCCCACTTCCCCCTCCTCTCTCCTCACCCACCCCTCTCCACCTCCCCACCCTACCCTTCCCCGCCTCTATGCGCCCCTGCTGCCGTGCCCGCCTGTGTGCCTTTCCATCAGGTATGATCTGACTCGCCTGATCGTGGGGAGCGAGGGAACACTGGCTGTTGTCACCGAGGTATGAAAGTCACCAACACACAGAAGTCACCGAGGTATGGGGCAACAGTAGTGTGTGAGGTGGCGCTTTAGCACCAGGGTCAATAACTGAGTGAAAACAGGATCTCGCAAGAAAGGTGGGCACCGTTCCACGGGAATTTGTTAAAAACTTTAGGCAGGTGTAACAGCGTGCGTCACGTGAATCAATTTTTTAGGCGCACTCACTCATGCTGATAATTCCATGCAGGTGTAACCGCGTGCGTCACCAATCTGAGTGCAGCTTTGTGGTAGTTGTGGTGGTGGTGGCGTTGGCTGATGCAAAGTGCCCGCAGGTTTCCCTTCCTCCTCCACACGCCACGCCACCACAACCAACCTTCCCATCCACCATGCTTGCTTGTGCCTCTTCGCCCCATGCCGCATGCCGCATGCCCAATGCATCATTCCACATGCCCCATGCATCATTCCACATGCCCCATGCATCATTCCACATGCCCCATGCATCATTCCACATGCCCCATGCATCATTCCACATGCCCAATGCATCATTCCACATTCCCCATGCATCATTCCACATGCCCAATGCATCATTCCACATGCCCCATGCATCATTCCACATTCCCCATGCATCATTCTACATGCCCCATGCATCATTCCACATGCCCCATGCAACGTGCACAATGTATGCAGGTAGCTCTTCGCCTGTATCCCCAACCCGAGGCTGTCTCGGCTGCTGTCTGCCCCTTCACCTCCATCGCCGGTGCTGTGAGACATTCACCTCTCCACGCTCTCTCCTCCTCCAACTTCCCCTCTCTGCCTTCCCACTCTCCAGAGTGAGCACACAGTCACACTCTTTTCCTCTCAGCTGCTGTCTGCCCATTCAACTCCATCGCCTCGAGTTTTTAGTCGACTCAAAACTCGATACAGTCACACTCTTTTCCTCTCAGCTGCTGTCTGCCCATTCAACTCCATTGCCTCAAGTTTTTAGTCGACTCAAAACTCGACACAGTCACACTCTTTTCCTCTCAGCTGCTGTCTGCCCATTCAACTCCATTGCCTCAAGTTTTTAGTCGACAAAAAACTCGACACAGTCACACTCTTTTCCTCTCAGCTGCTGTCTGCCCATTCAACTCCATTGCCTCAAGTTTTTAGTCGACTCAAAACTCGACACAGTCACACTCTTTTCCTCTCAGCTGCTGTCTGCCCATTCAACTCCATCGCCTCGAGTTTTTAGTCGACTCAAAACTCGATACAGTCACACTCTTTTCCTCTCAGCTGCTGTCTGCCCATTCAACTCCATCGCCTCGAGTTTTTAGTCGACTCAAAACTTGACAGAGTCACACTCTTTTCCTCTCAGCTGCTGTCTGCCCATTCAACTCCATCACCTCAAGTTTTTAGTCGACTCAAAACTCGACACAGTCACACTCTTTTCCTCTCAGCTGCTGTCTGCCCATTCAACTCCATCACCTCAAGTTTTTAGTCGACTCAAAACTCGACACAGTCACACTCTTTTCCTCTCAGCTGCTGTCTGCCCGTTCAACTCCATTGCCTCGAGTTTTTAGTCGACTCAAAACTTGACACAGTCACACTCTTTTCCTCTCAGCTGCTGTCTGCCCATTCAACTCCATTGCCTCAAGTTTTTAGTCGACTCAAAACTCGACACAGTCACACTCTTTTCCTCTCAGCTGCTGTCTGCCCATTCAACTCCATTGCCTCAAGTTTTTAGTCGACTCAAAACTCGACACAGTCACACTCTTTTCCTCTCAGCTGCTGTCTGCCCATTCAACTCCATTGCCTCAAGTTTTTAGTCGACTCAAAACTCGACACAGTCACACTCTTTTCCTCTCAGCTGCTGTCTGCCCATTCAACTCCATCGCCTCGAGTTTTTAGTCGACTCAAAACTCGATACAGTCACACTCTTTTCCTCTCAGCTGCTGTCTGCCCATTCAACTCCATCGCCTCGAGTTTTTAGTCGACTCAAAACTTGACACAGTCACACTCTTTTCCTCTCAGCTGCTGTCTGCCCATTCAACTCCATCACCTCAAGTTTTTAGTCGACTCAAAACTCGACACAGTCACACTCTTTTCCTCTCAGCTGCTGTCTGCCCATTCAACTCCATCACCTCAAGTTTTTAGTCGACTCAAAACTCGACACAGTCACACTCTTTTCCTCTCAGCTGCTGTCTGCCCATTCAACTCCATTGCCTCGAGTTTTTAGTCGACTCAAAACTTGACACAGTCACACTCTTTTCCTCTCAGCTGCTGTCTGCCCATTCAACTCCATTGCCTCGAGTTTTTAGTCGACTCAAAACTTGACACAGTCACACTCTTTTCCTCTCAGCTGCTGTCTGCCCATTCAACTCCATCACCGGTGCTAGGAGTTTGTTGTTCACCCTCAGGAGGTCGTGGTAATCGAGACAGTTTCCCCGCACTGTATCCACCATATCCCCATCATCTCACCCATCACTCACTTATTTATTACGTCACCACCATTCACCCACCACTCACCCACCACTCATCCACCACTCATCCACCCCTCATCCACCACTCATCCACCACTCATCCACCACTCATCCACCCCTCACCCACCACTCATCCACCAATGAACCACCTCAACCCCCATGCATCCTCACCCTCAGGTGGACACAGTGATCGAGACAATTCAAACCGCCATCCCCGTAGCACGCATAGAGCTCCTGGACGAAGTGCAGGTGGGATGGCTTTCTTCCCTGTTAGAATGCTCAAATATTCCCCTCACATGCTGCCTTTGCATAGAGCTCCTGGACGAAGTGCAGGTGAGCTCACTCCAGTGAAAACAGTCAGCTTGCTAATTAGATCACAATCAACGATGAAACCTGCAACGACCAGACTCAGCAACGGGTACTTTCTGCAATGAATGAATGACGATCGTGACGCGTGAGCGATTCAGCCACTCTTCCTCCCTCGCCTTTCGATTCGACACTGATGAAGGTCTAATCAGGTTTTCCCCCGCGAGAGGCCAGAAAATGTTCGTTTTCATGTTTAAATCAATATCCAAGTTTCCTCGCAAGCCTTGTTCTTAGTTGAAGCTCTAGTAAGCGGAAGATAGTAACAGGCTCTGATCCTTTCTGCTAAAAGGACTCCATCTTGCAGCTCTTCCCCATGAGTGAGGACCCCTGTTACCTCACACACACGCGTGAGCCATTCAGCTGCTCATTCCTCCCTCGCCTTTTGAGCCGCCCCAAGAGTACTTGCCGCAATGATGCCAATAGTGATGCTGAACCGATCTCAATATTTTTTAGGCGCCTCATAAGTAGACCGCAATGACGCCAATAGTGATGCTGAACCGATCTCAAGATTTTTTAGGCGCCTCATAAGTAGACCGCAATGACGCCAATAGTGATGCTGAACCGATCTCAATATTTTTTAGGCGCCTCATAAGTAGACCGCAATGACGCCAATAGTGATGCTGAACCGATCTCAAGATTTTTTAGGCGCCTCATAAGTAGACCGCAATGACGCCAATAGTGATGCTGAACCGATCTCAATATTTTTTAGGCGCCTCATAAGTAGACCGCAATGACGCCAATAGTGATGCTGAACCGATCTCAAGATTTTTTAGGCGCCTCAAAAATAGACTGCAATGACGCCGATAGTGATGCTGAACCGATTTCAAGATTTCTCAAGAGTGATTTCGCCTCTCATGTTCCCCCCCCCCCCTCCTTCCCCTTTCTGTGAATCCCCTCAGGTGGATGCGGTGAATCGCTACTCCAAGACGCACCTGCACCCGAGTCCCACGCTCTTCTTTGAGTTCCACGGCACTGCTGCTGCTGTAGAGGAGCAAGCTAAGCAGGTAGGTGCAAGCCATGCAGGTAGGCCCCCTTCCAGTCCTGTTTCCCTTGCTCCTACCCGCGTGGTGAAATTTGAGACGCCCTCCCCTGCATCCTAAACCGAGCGCCATCGCATTGCATCTTGTTGCACCGCACTCATTATTATCTACTTGTCCCTTGTCGTCCAACCAAGGAAGATCAACCGACTCAGTCCCCTCCCACTGCAACTTAGGTTTCGGAGATTGCATCTGGCAATGGGGGGGGCTCGTTCGAGTGGTCAACAGCTCCTGAGGAGCGATCCAAGCTGTGGGCTGCACGCCACTCCGCCTACTATGCTGCGCTCGCTCTCAGACCCAACAGCAAAGGGTGGGTGAGCCAAGCCAACATCACAGCAGGCAGGTCCTCACGTGTATAAAGGGTACTTTTGAGACATCTCAAAAGTTGCCTCACAGAGCCTTTATATACAAACAGCCAAGGGTGGGTGAGCCAAGTCAACATCACAGCATGCAGGTTCTCTTTTAGCAGTCGTGCTTCCTACCGGATGTGCATGCTCCTTTCTCGCGCCTCACAGAGCTTGTGCTTCGGGTTTTGAGACGTCTCAAAAGTTGCCTCACAGAGCCTTGTGCTTCGTGACATCATTCTCGCGAAGCAGCAGACAGGGCAGGCCCAGCTGGTAACTCGTCTTTGATATTCACACTCTCTTCCTCTCCATGTACCACCCCCCTCCTCCTGTCGTTTCCCAACCCCCCCCTTCGCACCCAGCCTCCTAGCAGACGTGTGTGTGCCCATCTCGCGGCTCACAGAGCTGGTGCTGCTAGCCAAGCAGCAGATAGAGCAGGCTCAGCTGGTGGCGCCCATAGTGGGGCACGTGGGGGATGGCAATTTCCACGTGCTCTTTATTGTAAGCCAGTCATGGGGCACGTGGGGTGGGGCACGTGGGGTGGGGCACGTGGGTGCTGATGGTGGGGTAAGGGGAGCATAGTGGGCACGTGGGGGATGGCAACTTCCACGTGCTCTTTGTCGTGAGCCAATAGTGGGGCATGTGGGGTTTGGAAAGTGATGGAGCACGTGGGGCACGTGGGGGAGATGGGCCACGGCACTTCCACATGCTCTGTATTGAAAGCTACTCGCTGCACAGTCCCATGTATTGATATTCCCCTGCTGCTTGTCATCAGAATACAATCACGAACTGCTATCAGGTGGCTTCCCATATATCTGTTTTTGAGAGGCCTCAGAAATCATATGGTTTCTATCCATCTATGCTTTATAGATGGATATCCCGTGTCTGCTCTGTGCAACAGGTAGATCCAAAAACCAGTATGAGCTGGCAGCGGTCAAGCGAGTCAACAGCAGTCTTGCTGCCTTTCACCAGACCTCAAAACCCTCCATCCATCTAAATCCCTGCCATGTCTGCTCCTTGCAACAGGTGGATCCAAACAACCGGGATGAGCTGGCAGCGGTCAAGCGAGTCAACGACAGTCTTGTGGCGCGTGCCATCTCCGTGGGCGGCACATGCAGTGGCGAGCACGGTGTGGGGTGAGTGGCATGGGATGGATTGGGGCAGGGTGAGTGGCATGGGATGGATTGCGGCAGGGTGAGCGGCATGGCACGGGGTGGGGTGAGTGGGCATGACATGAGCTGGCAGCAGTCAAACAAGTCAACTGTGGCTCGTGCTATTGCAGTAGGCAGCACATGCAGCTGCGAGCATGGCGTGGGGTGGGGTGAGTGAGTGGCATGCGGTGGGGCTAGTGGCATGGCACATGGCGTGGCATGGAATGCAGGGAGTGGCATGGAGTTGGGTGAGTGGCATGTGGTGGGGCTAGTGGCATGGCAAGGATTGGGTTGAGGTGATATGCATTCTGTTATAGGAGGCATCGTGACTCGCCCGTGTCATTTCCCTTTTCCCATCTCCCTTTTCCTCCCCTCCTTATTGCCCCCTTCTCCCCTCCCAATCACCCCCGCGCACATCCCCCGAGCAGCTATGGCAAGTTGCCATTCTTGGAGTCGGAGCATGGGAGGGCAGCACTGGATGCCATGGCAGCACTCAAGGCAGCATGGGACCCACTCAATCTATTTAACCCGGGCAAGCTAGGCCAGTTCCGCCTGCCCTGACAGGGTATCTTCACCTGCCCAGTTCCACCTGCCCAAGTTTTTCGGTTCTGTGTGCGGCGCTTTCAAGGCTTGCCTGCTGCAGAAAGGCAGGCTCTTTCTCTTTTGCAGAGGCCTTTGCAGTGGAGAAAAACAAGTATTTTAGCTGTTGCATTGCAAAGGTTTCTATGCCCCCCAATGCTCTGGGCTGGCGAGGCTAGTTGATGATTCTTGTTTGTGCCCTTCGGTTGCTTATATCAGCTGTACATTCACAATACACAGCTTACGGCCTTACGAGTGTGCAGCTACCTCCTACCGTAAATGTCCATTTCGTGACCATGTCTAGCCGCCCTGCCATGGCCAGCATCTGCCTGAGGGCCAGCACCTTGGCCTTCACACACAGATTCACCCCCACCAGCCCACCCCCTCCACCCACTCCCACTCTTGAGTCGACTCAAAAGTCATTTCGTGACCATGTCTAGCCGCCCTGCCATGGCTAGCATCTGCCTGAGGGCCAGCACCTTGGCCTTCACACACAGATTCACCCCCACCAGCCCACCCCCTCCACCCACTCCCATCCCTGCAGCCAAGCCAGCACCCATACCCATCCCTGCAGCAGTAGCAGCAACAGGTGGTTGAGGTGGGTTCCCTGCTACTACTGGCGCTACTGCGGGTAGCGTTACCCCTGCTGCTGCTACAGCTGCAACTCCCGCCACTACAGGTGGCGCACCCAAAGGTGCTGCACCCACACCCCACATCGCTGCACGGACTGTCATGTTCACAGGTGGAAATAACGCCCCACGCGCAGCACCATCATTAGCAACACCAGCGCCACCACCAGGCATAGCAGCAGGCCCGGCAGCAGGCACGGCAGCAGGCACGGCAGCAGGCACGGCAGCAGAAGGAACAGCAGCGCTGGCAAGCACAGGCCTTCCAAACACGCCCCCTGCAGCGCCATCAATTGCAGCTGCTACTGCCATGCGCCTGGTCAGTCTCCTGGGGTCGGTACCAGAGTAAATCCCGCTCATCTCCCCCACCCGCCCTAGCCCTGCCCCTGCTGCTCCTCCTGCTCCTCCTGCTCCCCCTGCTCCTCCTACTGCCCCTGCAGCTGCTCCTGCGGCCATCACGGTTCCACCTGCCGGGAAACCCATCACACTCCCTCCTGCCCTCCCTGCTGCCCCTGCAGCTGCTACTGCGGCCACTGCTGCTGCAGAAGCAACCATCCCCGTCCCTGCTGCTCCTGCTACAGGTGCCCCCACCGCTGGGGCTGCTACAGCCGCCCCCACCGTTGGCGCTGCTGCTACAGCCGCCCCTAACGCTGGCGCTGCTGCTACAGCCGGCGCTGCTACACCCACCCTTCCCGCTGCAGCAGCTGCGGACCCAGCAGCAGCGCACATGGCGCAGCAGAGGCCCTTAATCACGATGCGCCTTAGGTTGGGGCACCGGAGCGCGATAGTCGCCACTACCGCCGCATCAAAGTCCACGTCTGTTAGAATCAGCACCTCCAGCTCCGGGTGAAACGCGTCCGGCGCTGCCGAACCTGTCCCCGAGCCTGTCCCCGAACCTGTTCCCGAGCCTACGGCGAGTCGGCTCGTGCCGAGCCAGGGGAAAGTGGATGCGGGCGCGGGGGCTGACGAGGGAAGAGCGCCGAGAGCGGCGGGTAGGGTGTGGATAGAACCTCCTACTAATTCCAACACTCTTAAAGACGTGCACTTGCGCAGCGCCAATAGGTCTTCGACCTCTAAAGCCCCCATGTGGATGCGCAGACATGACAGGTTTCGCCAGCCAATCACCATGAGGTACACGGCCTGGCGAGTAACACTATTTCGCACGAGGCACGAAAACTGTCGCATGGAGCGAAAGCCCGACGTGAGGTACCACATGGAACGCGCCTCGAGCAGACCGAAGGACGTCTCTACGCCGTGCGATGTGAGTTCGACGGATTCGACGTTCTTGCAGTAGAGAGATATGATCCAGAGGATACTGCAGATGGCCGCCTCGTTGCGACTCGTCGCGTCGCGGTCGCAGTCGATGACGATGCGTCGCAGCGAGTCGCTGCATGCGACAATGATTGGGTGCAGGATGTGTAGCTCGCACCGCGGGTCGTCCACGTAGAGGTCCGTCAGGTTGGTGCAGCGCGCCGCGAGCAGCTCCACGCCTGAGATAAAACGAAGCGAGAGGGGCGGGCGAGGAAAGGAAGGAAGGAAGGGGGCGACATCAGTGTCACTTCCGACTTCTATTCTATATGGTGCTTTCGAAGAGTTAAAGTGAAAAAATCGCCACTTGATGACGCGAGGGAAAAAAAAAAAAAAAAAAAAAAAAAAAAAAAAAAAAAAAAAAAAACATATTGCACGAGAGGGCGCAAAGGACCCAATCACGAATTTCTTCGGGAGCATGAAAGCCGCCTCGTACTGATTCGAATGTTGAGAGTCGGGCTCTACGTGGACGGACTTCGCGGTGACTTTTTGTGGTTTCACATCGAACGTACTACACGTGTCGCAAAGTGTTTCCAGCGTAGACGACGCTGCAGACGTTGAATCTGCGTCAGGCGCGTCGGCAAAAGGCGCGCCGGAAAGAAGCGGCTCGGAGAAAGGCGGGACGTACCTGGATGCATGCTGCCCGGGCCGATGCGGAGCTTGGTCCAAAACACGCGGCTGTAGCACAGCTGCTTCCACTGCCGGCTCACGCACGAGAACCGGCACAAATCCCATGCCGTCGGATGCCCCGATTGAAGCACCTTCAATAAAAGGTCCTCGCTCAAATCCGACAGGGACGCCGGCCTCTGCTGCTGCTGCTGCTGCTGCCGTTGCGGCTGTAGCGCCGGCTGAAGCGTCCATTCGGTTGCGTGCTCTGCGGATGAAGTGCTGACGTCAGAGCTGCAGTCCGCTTCCAGGTCCGGAAGCATCAAAGAGGGCTCCTCGAGGCGGCGCCGCTTTGCGAAAGGCTCGGCGTTCGGCTCGGTGTCAGGCTCGGGCTTGTCGGACGAGCCCTGAGCGGGCACGCTACCGTGATGCGTGGGTGCGGGGACGTGGTGCCGTAAGTTCCATGCTACGAGGTCTGAGAGGCCTAAATCCATGGCTGTCGCTTTGAACTGCTTGGGAGGACAAATTCCAAAGGCTCAAGTTCTGAGTACGAACGGGTTTGCTGTTGTTGCGTTGGCGAAAGGAGAAAGGATGAGAAGCTACACAAAGTATGAAGAGAGAATACCAGCCGTTCTTCAGTAGCCCGTTCAAGCTGCTAAATCAACAAGCAAGACGTACGAAGATAAAATAGGAATCCCTGAGGATGGGCTTGAGGGAACTGAGGTCAAATACAAGCCCCGATAGCGCTGTAAAACACACATCGAGGGACGCAGGGGGGAGCGAGGGAGTGAGGGAAAGCTGATGTCGAGGGGTGTCAAGTTCTCGACGGAAGGGGAGAGGGGCTGGAGAGCACATGTGATGTCTGGTGGAGGGGTGGACGGATGGATGCAAGACGAACAGGTGATCGACGGTCACGTGGACAGCTGGAAAGACTGCCATCGAGATTGCCCTTAGATGACGCGTCTCGGGATTGGATGCGCGTTGCGCAAACCCCAAGCCCGGGATTTCTGCCGTACGTTTTCCCCTTTCTGCCTCCCTTTCCCTTTGGTGCCCATGATGCAACGCAATGCAACCCCAATGGCGAACTGCTTCCTGCCCGAGTGTGTTGCTGCTGCCGCGCGCTGCTCTCTGCTTGCAATGCTCGCTTTGGGGTCTTGATGCCGTAGGCGGTGACGAATCAAATTTCCATCATTACATGATGGCAGGTGAAACACACACAGAAACCTGGTGACGGGGTGGTTGGGATGGTGGCTGTTTTTGTGCCATGTGCGGTTTGCTTGAAGTTAAAACGGGGCAAGGTGTCGGGCGGGGCGCGCGTGACGCGTTTTCCGCCATGTGAGGGGCTGGGGGAGGGGGGGCTGCTTCAAAGTTGAGACGGGGTAGCGCTGGTTGGGCGGGGCGTGATGTGTGAAGGAGGGCTGAACCGCGCCGCATTCGCATTGTCAGCTAGCCACGCTATAATTCTGAACTCAGCATTGCGGCGCGAGTTGCTGAATGGAAGGGGCAAACCACCGCCACTTACTGAATTCACAAGTTACGCAACCTTGCGAATGTTTCCGTCCCCCGTTACCGTTCCGTCCCGTCCACTCTGGCAGTTGCATCTGAATGTGTCCACTGTCGAGCCCGCCCTGCCTTCTGCTTTCCATCGTCAGGGACTCTGGTCTTTGACGGGAATGAAAAGATGACGTGTATCTTGCGAACGGCTTTTGTGGTTGGTGGAACTTTTGGATCAAGGAACGACATCGCAAGAGGAGGTTCGACCAGTCGCATACTGTACTGTACTGAAACTCTTGGCCAGGACCCGAACCGATACAGTAATCCGCTGAGCTGGCAATGTAATTGTGCCGTCATCATGCAGAACTGTAACCCTCCGATGCTGTTGTGACCTGCCTGGTGGCAAAGGAAACTACCTGAAGCACAGTTACCCGATGACGTCAGGTGCCCTCGTAACATCTTGGAAGTTCGCCAGACAAGTAGAGTCGTTTCAGATGCAATTCACTGTCCGGTTGGCGAGTTGACCTCTGTCCGACAGCTTCGTTCTGGTTGAATATCTTCCTTTGGGTTTCATTTGCTGTCATTTGTCAGCCGTCCTAGCCGAGGAGCGAGAGGCCCAGCGCGGCGCGTTAGCGGGGACGAAGGACTGGAGAAGTTACACACGAAGGTACACTTGCCCCAGCCCAAGCCACCACGAGGTGGCGCGGCTCACCAGCACAGAACATCGTCGATGGATTTGCTGCAACCTACCCCCAGATTCTTCATTTTCATTTATATCAAAGCTCGAATGGCAACAGCAACTTGTGGCACTATTCTTGTTCAATAAGCATTCCTTAGGTGAAACTACAAAATCTGGCGTAAATTTTATATACAGATGCCCAAAATCATCTGAAGTCATAATTTGCCATCCAGGTCATCTGTGCCATCAGAACTCGATAGCCTACGATTGTGAAGTACAACACGTGTACATGAAGATTTTCCACCTCATGCATCTGCAGGAGTCATCATTACAGCAGCCAACGGACGTTCTGGCCCAATCAGTCGCCAGTTGAAATGTCTGAGGTGGAAGCCGAAGGTTATAGCTACAGTAATACATTGACAGTCTCGGAAAGGATAGAAGACCACAGAAGTCACACGCTGTACGACTGTTGAAAATGAACAAACACCGTATTCATCCGAACTAAAAACTCAAGTGCACTCATTGATAAGAATCACCGTTGATGACTTCAAAAGGACAACCTACATGTCACTATCAACAAGAGATGGCTTACGCTTTCACACATGTTACTCAGTCTGAGTGATTAACAACGTCGGTTAAAAACATGGGATGAGCTAACACGGGGTCAGGGTTGTACTGATGCCAAGGGTGAGTTGGGGCCGGCCTTTTGGCCGGCCGACACGAGGTCCCGGAAGAGATTGCCACTGGTCCAGCTGCCACCCAGACTCTTCCTACCAATCCCTCCGTTCCCTTGCCTCATCATAGCAACAAACTCGTTATAGTCAATGATGCCATCCTGCAGGAAAAAACAAAAAGAAATCATCTTCAAACAGAGACTGCAGAGGGAGCCCAAGCTGGAGAAAATGCAACAGAAAGGTTGGGCTCCCTTTTGGTACCAAAACCGCATTCCTATCACACATCATAACCACCTCGCGTCACCAAAAAATAGACACAGTGCGGTGCAAATAACTTCATCGCCAGGACAGTACCAGCAGCCTCATCAATCACATTGTTAGTGTCGACGTCACGCATGGACTTAACAATGCACTCCTCGTCAACCCCATACTCGCGGCACGCGCCCCGCAGCTCATTGTAATATATCTCAAACGTCTCAAAAGTAAATGGCTATACTCACATTGTTAGTGTCAACGTCGCGCATGGTCTCAACGATGCACTCCTCGTCGACGCCGTACTCGCGGCACGCGTCCTGCAGCTCATCGGTGGAGATGAAGCCAGACGAGTCCTTGTCAAAGTAGGAGAAGGCCGCAAACAGCGTCTCCTCGCGCTCTATCTTGTTCAGCTGCACCGTCGCTGCCAGGAACTCGCCGTAGTCAATGGTGCCATTGCCGTCAATATCAGCCTGGGTTGGGGGATTGAGGTGAGTGGGAAACATGGAGGGGTAACAACATGAGAATCAGCTGCAGGTGCGACCTGTAGGGAACGTCCTACAGGGTGCGTCCTGCAGCTCATCGGTGGAAATGAAGCCAGACGAGTCCTTGTCAAAGTAGGAGAAGGCCGCAAACAGCGTCTCCTCGCGCTCTATCTTGTTCAGCTGCACCGTCGCTGCCAGGAACTCGCCGTAGTCAATGGTGCCATTGCCATCAATGTCGGCCTGGATTGGGGATTGAGATGAGTGGGACACGGAGGTAACCATATCAGACTCTGCAGGGTTCCCCTCAGGTACTCGCCATGGTCAATGGCTCCACCCATGTCAGCCTGATTTTGATGCGAGCGTAAGTGAGGTGATGAGATGCTATCCGATGAGATGTGATGCCGCCAATAAGTGATGTGGGAGATATGGGGTGAATACGATAACATGGGAATTAGCTGCCCATCGCACAAACAAACCCCTTAAGTCTAGGGTTCCGTTGCTGTCAACATAGGCATGAGTGGTGCGAAGGGAAGACAGTGCGTCAGAGTCTCGGTAAACATGGAAAGGGTGACTGGCGTCGCCAAGAGGGAGGGAAGCAGGGGTATTGGCGTTGTCAAAAATGAAAAATTTACTACATGCCTTGAACACCCTGAAGACTTGCACACACAGCAGCTTACTACAGCAGCCCACCACTCTAGCACATGCAAGCCCAGGCACACCGCATCCATGCGGTCCTTGATCTCCATGTTGTTGGGTAGAGACGAATCCTCTTTAGCTTTGACGAAACAGCACATACCCCAGCCCGCTGCACAACCTGGTACACACGGCACACACCACCGTACCTACACAGCCAAGCCCCAAGCCCACACACGCACAGCCAAGCCCCGTGCACCCACTCGCCGCATCCATAAGCTCCTTGATCTCCATGTTGTTGAGAGTCGACCCGATCCTCTCGAGCCCAGATCGCAGCTCCTCATATGTGATGGTGCCTTTTGAGTCGACTCAAACCAAACCCCAAGACCAGCCCAAGCACTCACCGCATCCATGAGTTCCTTCATCTCCTATGTCATTGAGGGTAGACCCAATCATCTTGAGCCCTGAAATACCAACACACAACTAAGCCCCACGCCCAGACACGCACAGCCAAGCCCGAGACACCCATTCATGAGTAGCTCACCGCATCCATGAGTTCCTTAATCTCCATGTCATTGAGCGTAGACCCGATCCTCTTGAGCCCGGCGCGCAGCTCCTCATACGTGATGGTGCCGCTGCCATCAGTGTCCATCATCTTGAACGTCTCCTTGAGCCCCGAGATCTCCTCCTCCGACATGCTCTCTGCGATCACGCGCAGCGCCATCTTCTTGAGCTTGTTCATCGCTGTGAATTGCTTCAGACGAGAGAGGACCGCCGAGCCCAGTGGCTTGTCCGGTGCGACGCCATCCTTGGCCACCCACGGATGGCCTGATGAAAGGAAGGGGAGGGTGAAAGAGGAAGGAGTGGGGTGGAACGACGGAAAGGTAGAAGGACGGAAAGAGCACGGGTTGTTCAAGTGGTGCCGCTGCCCTCGGCATCTTGAACGTTTCCTTGGGCTGCGATCACCCGCAGCGCCGTCTTCTTGAGCTTGTTCATCGCCGTGAACTGCTTCAGCCGGGACAGCACGGCGGAACCGAGAGGCTTGTCTGGTGCGACGCCATCCTTGGCCACCCACGGATGGCCTGCGGGGAGGAGGGGGAGGAAGGCAGAAAGGGATGAGAGGGAGGATGTAGGAGAGGAAGATAAAAACAGTGACACCATAATATGCTGGAGCACCCCCATCTTCCTGAATTTGTTCATTGCTGCTAACTGCTTCAGCCGGGAGAGCACGGCGGAACCAATTGGCTTGTCAGGTGCGACATCATCCTTGGCCACCCACGGATGGCCTGCGGGGAGGGGAAAGGAGAAGGGGAGAGGAGGGGATGGAAAGCGCCGAAGTGTTCATGGGGCGACGCCGCTGTCTCCCTCCTTTCACACACACAGCAACTGGCAGAGCAATTGACAGAGGGCGGTGCACTCACAGAGGACGTCATAAGCAGAGTAGCGTTTCTTGGGGTCGAGGCAGCACATGTGGCGGATGAGGTCCTTGGAGTCCTCACTGATGGACGGCCATGGGTCCGACTCAAAGTCCAGCTCGCCCCGCAGCACCGCCTCAAATATGCCCTGCTCCGTCTCTGCTTGTTTGTGGGGGATGGAAATGAAAAATAGCAGCCGGGTTTGGCATCGGATATGTTCTCACGTATGCTTTTACATAGCAATAGCAATACTTCACTGTATAAGTCCAACTCGCACAGCAGCACCACCTCGAATATGCCCTGCTCCGTCTCTGGTGGGTGTATGGGGTGTGGGGAAGTGAGAGGGCAGGGGAATATGCAACACGCTTGCACGGGAGCATGGGCATTGCAACGGGTCCGACTCAAAGTCCAGCTCGCCCCGCAGCGCAGCACCACCTCGAATATGCCCTGCTCCGTCTCTCGCGTGTGTGGGGCATGGGGTGGTGTGTGGGGGAAGAGCAGGGGTTTCTGGTGCGTAAATCTAATGCCCACACGCCCAGCTCGCCCTGCAGCACCACCTCAAAAACCCCGTGCTCTGTCTATGTGTGTGTGGGGGTGTCAGTGGGTAGAAAGTAGAAAATGAAGGAGCGAGGGGAAATGCTCGCACAGAAGCATCGATATTGCGGCGGTACAGTGCACACGTGCAGCCCGACGCGCAACACAGATTCGAATATGCCCTGCTACGTCTCTGGTGCATGTGGGGTGTGGGGTGCTGTTGGGGCGGAGGAGGGGATGAGGGAAAAAGCAAGGTTGTTGACAGGGGTAAAAGGGTATGGGAAACAGCAACAGGGGAGTAAGCTTGCACGTGAGCGTCTACATTGCCGTGATTTTATAGGGGGGGGAGGAAAAATGGAAATGGTGCTGTCTAACGTCGCATCCAGTCCAGCTCGTTTGCAGGCGCAGGCTCGAACACGTTGTGCTTTGACTGTTGACAAGGCCTCCCAACTTGCAGACGCAGGCTCGAACCGTGCTTCGCTTTGGTTGCACTGCATGCATGTGGATGCGTTGGACTGTGCTCCGCTGTCCTCCGCTGTGCTCCTCAGTTTATGTGAATGCATACAGCCAGCACAGCCCCAGACTTTCAGCCATAAGAGATGAAGCAGGGGTGGGGTGGATGAGAGAAAAGGAATACAAATACGGACCTGCCCAGAAGGGCGGCTTTTGAGACGTCTCACAAATACGGACCTGCCCAGAAGGGCGGCACGTCGCTAAGAAGGATGTAGATGTTGACGCCCATGCTCCACACGTCCGCCTTCTAACAACCCTCCACCTTTGTGGAAAACGAGGCCTCTTTTAACGGGTACAAACCCGCCTAACTATTCACGTACCTGCCCAGAAGGGTGGCACGCCGGAGAGCAGGATGTAGATGATGACGCCCATGCTCCACACGTCCGCCTTCTCGTTGTACCTCCGCCGCAGCACCTCCGGCGCCACGTAGTACGGGCTGCCCACCACGTCCGACAGGTACTCGCCTGGGGGAACGAGAGGGGGGGGGGAGTGGGTCGGGGGAGGAAGCGGGGATGCAATAAACGCCATCTCCGGCGCCACGTAGTACGGGCTGCCCGGCACATCCGACAGGTACTCGCCTGGCGGGGTGGGCGGGGGGTTTGGAAGAGTGGGGGGAGAGTGGGGGGTGGGGGAGAGAGGGGGGTGGAGGGGAGGGAGGAGCGGGGACAAGACGAATCGATAAGGGGCATCTCGGGCTCCACACTGGAGGAACAGCCGCACGTGTGCAAGTTTCGCAGGGCGGCACAACAGAACAGAGAGGGTGGAGGGACGCTGGGGGATGAGGGGCGCTGGGGAAGGGGGAAAACGAGAAAGGGAGGTGGAAGGGCGAGGGAAAAGGGAGTGGGGGATTCGGAGGCAGGTGGAAGGGGATGAGGAAAACGGACAGGAGGGGTGCGGTGGTGAGGAGACTGAAACAAAACTATCCATAGGCACCTGGGGAGGCCTAGCAAGCACACAATGCACTGCACTACACCGCACTGCACTGCACCGCAGTGCACCGCACCTGGCTTGAAGAAGTAGGAAAGGCCGAAGTCGGTGGCCTTAAGATCAGCAGTCTCGGACTTGCTGGCGAAGAGGAAGTTCTCCGGCTTGAGGTCGCGGTGGATCACACCCAGCGAGTGGCACGCCTCTATCACCTTCGCGATCGTCCGCGTTAGCTCCGCCGCCTGCCGCTCACTGCGGGGAGAGGGGGAGGAAGGGGGCAAGGTCGAGCGGGGGGGGGAGGGGAAAGGGGGGAGGGGGGGGGGAGGGGGGGGGGGGGGGAAGAGGGGGGGAGAGGGTTAGGAGGGGAGGGGACGAGGAGAAAGGAGAAATGGAGGGAGTGCGGAATCGGGAGGAGAAATAAGGGAAGGGAGAAGCAACGAGGAACGGGACCGGCTAAAAAAGATGGCTGCATGTTAGCGCGAGTGACTGGGCGCGTGTACATATGCGCGCATGTGAGCGCGACGTGCATGCACGTGAGTGCGTGTGCACGAGTATAAGTGCGCGTGCGTGCGTGCACCCGTATGAGCGTACGTATGCACGCGCATGCGGAGTGCGTAAGTGTGTCCTTAGAAGGTGATTGAACCAACGCTCAAGCTTTCTCACCAAGATATACTATAATCTGTATCTCAACTTTCGTGAACGAAAACAATGGTTCAGACGCGATACGGTTAAGTTGGGACCATCTAAATTATGAAACAAAAGTGAAACACTTTCTCGAGACAGAAAAAAAATCGCGTGCGCTAATCACACTGGTGCGATAAATAATCAACGGCTCCCATTTTGAGCGGAAATGAAGATAGTGTAACCGGTTTTTGGAGTAAACGAATGATGAGGTAAAAAACGAAGGAAAAAAACGAAAAAATACGACCTAATGTACCGTCTGACTGAGGGATATCTGTATAGACCTTTCCTCAAAAGCGCGAACCGATCGCCCTTGGACCGGAAATGGCTAAATGGTCCAGGCGATTCGTAGACCTAATGACCCAGGAGTAGCTTACCTATAGTGGCCCTTTTTAATGATGCGCTCAAACAGCTCGCCTCCCGTGCAGAGCTCCATGACAATGTGCACATTCAAGTGATCCTCGTACGCTCCTTTGATGCACACAATGTTGCCATGGCCCGCCAGGTGATGCATGATCGCCACCTCGCGTTTCACGTCCTCCACGTCCTCCCTCGATATAAGCTTCTTCTTTGCGATGGTCTTGCACGCGTACTCCTTCCCCGTGGCTTTCTCCGTGCAGAGAAACGTTACGCCGAACTGGCCCTGGCCAAGCTTCTTCCCCAGCTTGAATAATGACTCCAGTTGCTCTGCGCGAAATGCCGCAGTTTTATCATTGTTAATAATGTTGAACACCGTCGCTTAATTTTGGGGGGGAAATGTGACAATGGATGTTACGTATATTTGAAGCTTGAGAAATGTGTCAATGTATCTACATTAGGACGTGAACAAGGGAACCGAGCATAAGCGATCTTAAAAGGAATGAAAAAAAAATGGTAGCAATGAGCCGACAAAAATGCTCCTGCGCAACGGACACTAAGTTAATCAGGAGTGCAAGTAAATACCTGTTCTTCTACCCAAGACAGATCCATGAATAGCGTGGCCGGGAGCCAACCGCTCGTCAGCAAACTTCACTCTCCGGTCACCCATTATATCCACCAGTTTCTATTTAGAACAAAAAAAACACCAGAGAAATATCCGACGACAGCTATTTCCGGTTTCGCTGCGTGTGAAGCTACCGACGAAAACCAATAGCTCCTACTAGAGCTGGAGGATATAGGTGCGGGAGAGAGATGCCTGGAAATTGGAGAGTGAAGCAGGCAGGCCTCAAGTTCCCAAGGCAGCGGTCCAGCAGAAAGTAAGTTCTCTTGGGAACCCTTGACCCTCACTACCTGCAAAACCGGAACCGAGGGCCCGCCCAGCGACGAACCAAACCCCCACCTCGTCTCCAAACCACGTCTCCAGCCTCGAAACCGAACACCAATCAGTTTTTCACGGGAAGGAACGGAACGAGATGGGACGGGACGGGACGGGACGGGACGGAATCCTTTTTCACTGGTATCTTGTATCTGTGGGACTGGAACTCCAGGTTGCCCCTTCAACACGGAAGCCGTCACCTGAAAATCTTTTAGCAGAATGGGGCACCGTAAAAGCCAGAATAAATACGCGTGCAGATTCGGCTCGTCGCCAAACATGTTATCAAACCAATGCTACCCTGTAATTTTTCTGTACAAAGCCACGGTCGGTCCGGCAAGAGTTGAAAGCGCGATGCCGGCACAAGCAAAACTTTACTTTGAGTCCTTGTCCAATGACAGTCTGCCCATTCTGATTTTTGTGCGAAATGTCGATTGTTCAATCCCGTTTGACCACTTTCATTCGCGTTATTAGTTCTTCGATAGACGGAAATATAGCTCATGTTTCTCACCAACAAACTTTGTTGCTTTCTTCAGCATTATTGACGCACAACATCAAGCTCGAGGGTTGTTTATGTACCTACTCGATAGTAGGGATTACTTTCCACCACGGAAAAGCATATACCTAGGTTCAAGTCTAGATTGTGTATATCCCATTATGGTCAAATTGAATAGAACACGTTGGGAAAGAGGTTCATCTCAATCTAAGAGTTAAGCCATTGCCTTACCATACTTAGAAGAGCATGGCACCCATGACTACAACCACAAGCATACTAAGAATATTTAGGTTCCAACCCCCCATACCCATCCCTGTTCCAGCAGCTTTAGAGGCTGCTTGATCGATTCCCAATAAATACCTACACTGCTCCTGGGTAGGATTGTTCTGCACCACTTCCGCCACCCCCTTGAAGTCACACGCCCCACCCGACTGGTTATTCAGCTGGAAGTAACTATTAAACGCATAGGTCGCAACCTTTGCTGTGCTCCCATTAAAGTAACACGACCCTCCAACCTGTGCAGGCGTGCAATCCGAAGGCTTCATATCCCCACACGCATACGTCACCGCTTCTGCCAATTTCTGCGGGTCCACGCCCTCCTTGGCCACACACCACTGCCCGGGGTACAGCACAATCCCTGTTGCGCTTTTCAGAGTGACATTCTTCCCGCCGCCCGTCAAATCCAAGGGGTATTTTGGGGTCCCGTCCACGCGGAAAATCCCCCAATGCCTCTCGAACGGGCCGGCTAGAGTGATCTTCCGGTCTTCGTCTGAAAGCGCGAAGAGGTATCCACTCAAGATTTGATTTGGGCGGGCCGGCGTGCCTTGTCCTGACGGCATGTGGGCTAGGATGGCCTGGTTGAAGCGATAGGCGTTGTCCACTGTGGCATAACCCCTCGTGTCACCCTGACCGTCGGATGGCCATCCGATCTCGCCGATCTCGATCGGCAGCTGCAGACAGAAGGAGAGGGGTTTGGGTGGGTGTGAGTGTATGAAGGGTGAGGGTGGAGGGAGGAACAGGTAATGGAACGGGCTTATGGAAGAAAATGTGTGGGAGGCATGGAAAGGGAGGAGGAGGTGGAGCACAGGGGTGGAGATGTGAAGGGAGAGGGGGAGGAGAAGCACGGTATGGGCATGGAAACCACAGCCTCGAACGCCCACAATGATCCCACAATGATCCCACATTCAGCCCCACATTCAGCCCCACATTCAGCCCCACATTCAGCCCCACATTCAGCCCCACATTCAGCCCCACATGCGGCCCCACATTCAGCCCCACATGCGTCCCCACATTCAGCCACAAAGAAAGTGTCAGCCTCCACTCACATCGCTGGATCCGATCCAGAGAAGCCACCACAGCGTCAATCGCCCACATCAACCTCACAGTGATCCCATCCAGGCCCACACTGATCCCCACAACCATCCCCAGACTTCACTCACATCGCCGTATCCACTCTTCTGCAGAGCAACCACCACAACATCAAGCGCCCACAATGATCCCCACATGCAGCCCCACATTCAGCCTCCACTCACATCGCCGTATCCGATCTTCTGAAGAGCAGCCACCACAGCATCAAACGCCCCGTCGAAAATGTTGTTGTATTTCAGCCCACTCTTCGGGTCCTTGAACTGCCACGCCTGCCCGCCAGGCTGCCCCAAAAAAACCTGGTTCAGTCCTATAGCCCCCGTCGTGTCCTGGTGCAGCGTCAGAAACGGGTAGATATTTATCGAGAACGTTCCGCCAGACTGCTTCAAAATATCTGCAATCGCGGTGATATCCTCCAAAATATCCCCCCGAACCTCGCCCGAGGACGGCGGGTACGAGCTCCCCAAAATATCCGCGTTAAGAGGCACGGTGAGCTTGATTTTGTCGTCTAGTTTGGCGTCCTGTAGCGCACTGTACATATTTCGCATCGCTGGCACCACTGCTGACTCGTACATGCCTTGGTAGCCCTGCAGGAACGGCTCATTTCCCACGGCTATCTCCCTGCTCCCAAGGGAAGAATGGGGGGAAGAGGGGGGAGAAGGGGGTAGGGAAGAGATAAGGGCATCCAGGGAGATCGCACTGTACAAGCTACGCATCGCTGGCCCCACTGCTGACTCGTACATGCCCTGATAGCCCTGCAGGAATGGCTCGTTCCCCACCGCTATCTCTCTGCAACCAGGGAAAGTGGGGAGGGGAGAGTGACGGGGGAAATGGGGGGGAAAAGGGGAAAGGGTTCATTCAGAAGCCTCGTACATGCCCTGGTAGCCCTGCAGGAAGGGCTCGTTGCCCACTGCTATCTCCCTGCTCCCAGAAGAGGAGGGGAGGGGAGGGGAGGGGAAGTGGGAGAGAGTGAGGGAAGAGGATGGGAGGGGGGAGAGAGTTTGGGGAAGGGGGACGAGGTTGAGGTATTCAATATGCAGCATCACCGCCACCTCGATGCCCGTGCCCACCAGCATCAGGCATACCTGATGATACATGGTGTTTTGGGGAACTACCAAAAACACCCCCCAAGGCACGTACCTGATGTTTGGGGGTGTTTGTTGATTCATTTATTGAAAGACACCCCGCATCGGCCGTACCTGATGTTGGCTCCCTTTGGGAACACGAAGGGAGAGACGTTGTTGCTGAGCCACTTGGCCGCTTCCTTCTGCGAGCCGGCGACGAGGTTGAGGTACTCGTTCTGCAGCATCACCGCCACCTCGATATCCGTGCCCACCGGCATCAGGCATACCTGATGTAGGATGATGTTTTGGAGAACTTCCAAAAACACCCCGCATGACACCTACTTGAAGTTGGAGGGTGTTTTTGAGATTAATTGAAAAAAACTCCCCGCATCATCCGTACCTGATGTTGGCCCCCTTAGGGAACACGAAGGGCGACACGTTGTTGCTGAGCCATTTGGCCGCCTCTTTCTGCGAGCCGGCGACGAGGTTGAGATACTCGTTCTGCAGCATCACCGCCACCTCGATGTCCGTGCCCACCAGCGCGCGCAGAATGTCCACGTCAGCGCCGAACAGCTTCAGCCGCTTGATGCCGTTGTCCTGAAACGGGGCACGGGTTGATAGAAGCGAGGAGTGATAGAAACGAGGGGTATTAAAGGCCGCGAGTGTGAGCAATTTTCTTATGCGCGTCAAGATGCGCTCAGCGTCAGCCGCTTGAAGCCGTTGTCCTGAAACAGGGTGATAGAAACGAGGGGTGACAAAAGCCGTGAGTGTTAGTGAATTCCTTATCCGCCTCAAGACGCGCTCAGCTTCAGCTGCTTGAAGCCGTTGTCCTGAACCGGGGGATTGCAGCACGGAGTGATAGAAACGAGGTGATAGCAGAAGAAGGTGAGTGTGTCGCGGGATGCCTCAAGATTTGAACAGCTGCAGCCGCTTGCTGCCGTTGTACTGTGACAGCTACCTAGCCACTAGTTAATTTATAGATTATATACTGCGTGGCAATCCTCAAATATCGTGAACTTACTTGGAGCAGTTTCACGACGGATTTGGGCGGCATTTGCTGCCATGAGTTGCGGCCCCAGCACACGCCGATGGGCTGGGAGAAGTCTGCAGAGACAGGCTGAACGCCGATCGTGCTGCTCGCCGCGGCGAGTAGCAGTGCCGCAGCGACGCAGTGCCAGATTGTGTTCGCGAAGAAGGACGCCGGAGGGTTACCGCATAGCTTTCGCCAGCACGTCTGTCGCAGATCCATGATGAGCTAAGCTGATGAGGACAACGGGTTCTTCTTGCGTTTTATGTGATGCCGGTGAGGGATTCTACAAGAGACCTGTGATGTCTATGAACGCGCTTCGATCGAACGAGTGACCCTAAGATTCCTTCGAATAAGAAGACCTCTCAAGTTCCACTTCACGTTCGTATTCGGATGCGTACTCAACACCAGGCAACACCGGGACTTCTGGATTCTGAGGCCTTCAGAAACGTAACACGAGACGTGTTACTAACAAAAATCCTTAAGCTCACTAGGACAGGTGTACACAAAGTGAAGGAATCGGAGGTAACTAGAAATAGGTGGGCTTGGCTTTGTTCGACAGCACCAAGGTCGGTCGGAATCGAGGTGCTTTCCAGAAATCATCAACACCTGTTTGATTGTCATCAAGGAGTTCAGTTCAGTGTGCATCAACTTGCTAGCACGAAGGGCCATTCCCGTTTCGACCGTTTTTCATGGCGTTCCAAATGCAAGCCAGCCTCGAGATTACCTTTCAGCTGGAGTGCCCGTCTGATGCGACCCCGAGGTTTCCAATTTCCAGACCAGAATCGAGGGGTCTGACATCGAACCGCGCATGTATTTTCCCAACCGACCGCAGCAGCACCTGTCAAAGCGCACAGGTCTGTGCAGCTGGGGATGGGCGACGGTGGCTTGAGTCGCCTGAGTTCTGACGACGATATGGTCGCTGACCGACAGTTTTACCAGACCTGCAGATCTGGTGAGGGGAGGGGATCCACAGAACCCTTGTACTGTACCATTATCATAGCATTTGATACATATAATTGTGTTTTTTTGTCTGTGCTGAAGTTCCAGCCCAGACACATCCACCATACTTTCTCCGTGCCATTATCAGGAAAGATACGGGTTTACACATTAGAGGCTACATAAGTGCACATTACACTGTTCAAAGGTCGTCACCAAGCAAGTCAATGACGGTATTGACGTCCTTGTCGCCGCGGCCACTAAAGCAAACAATGACCTTGGTGCCATCGGCCAGCTGAGGGCAGAGGTATTCGAGGTATGCCAACGCATGAGATGTCTCCAGGGCAGGGATGATGCCTTCCAATCGCGACACACGCTTGAAAGCTGCACACGAACAATGGGAATATCAAGGAAGCATGTCACATGATCCATTAAGAAAGCTTGCTTTCTGGTTCTTGCAAGGCAACGTGCTTCATTTAAATTGGGTGATTACAACATTCTCGTCCAACTGAAACATTACATAATTATCAACTAGGGATGGGTGGGGGGGAAGAGGAACTGTGAAGTTCCGAAAATGAAGACGTGGATGGAGGCCAAATGGCCTCCAGCCCTCATTATGTACTCGGGAATAGGCGTTCGCAGTTGCCTTGCTTCGATACAGTCAGCTGCGCTTTCATATTACATATTTTTAGAAAGTGTTACACACTTAAAAAAAAAAATCATATCTTGAAACCATTCTTCTTTCCTTGCAGTGCCTTATCATCAGTCACACTGACATGCTCTGTCCGGCCAAGAAAGCTGCATTTGACAACACCTCCCCCCATTACCCTCGTACCTTGCAGGGACTTGTCTACTGAAGTACTCTGCCCGCCCAATGTCCTTACAATAGAGTGCATCCCCCCCCTCATTGCTCCCTTACCTTGCAGGGCCTCGTCGTCAGTGACACTGAAGTACTCTGCTCGCCCAATGTCCTTGAGGAAGCTGCACTCACCATTGCCTCCTGCTCTCCCCCTCCATTACCCTCTTACCTTGCAGTGCCTCGTCATCAGTGACACTGAAGTACTCCGCCCGCCCAATGTCCTTGAGGAAGCTGTGCTCGGGACCCACTCCGGGGTAGTCAAGGCTGCAAAATGAAGCAGAGAACAGATGCGGGGAGGATTGAGGATTTAAGGGTAGCACTGAACTGAAGCGATTCCCGTCCTCAAACAAACTTAACTCTTCCAACACACCCACCCCATCCTCCGGCCCAAAAAAAAAACACCCACGCCCCTCAAAATACCCGGCACTGATGCTGTGCGGTTCGATGATCTGCCCATCGCTGTCCTGCAGCAGGTAGCTCATGGCGCCATGCAGCACGCCCACCTCCCCGGCAGTGAGCGTGGCGGCATGCTTGTCCGTGTGCACGCCGTGCCCCGCCGCCTCCACACCCACCATGCGCACGCCCTCGTCCTCCACGAACTCGTGGAACAGCCCCATGGCGTTCGACCCTCCTCCTACGCACGCCACCAGCACGTCCGGGAGTCGGTTGAATTTCTCATAGGATTGCTTTTTGGCCTCCCGACCGATGATGGCCTGACGGGCAGGAAGGTGAAGAAGGGAGCGGGAGACGATTTTGGTGGGGGGGCAGGCGGGGAGGGTGGGGGGGCAGGCGGGGAGGGTGGGGAGGCAGGCAAGAAGGGTGGGGGGGCAGGCGGGGAGGGAGGGGGCGTAGGCAGGGAGGGTGGACGTTATGAGAAGAAGGGAGGGAGGGGAGGTGGGGGTAGGGAGGAGCAAGGTAAGGGAAGGTACCTGGAAGTCACGGACGATCATGGGGTAGGGGTGGGGGCCGGCAGCAGAGCCAAGGATGTAGTGAGTGGTGTCCAAGTTGGTCGGCCAGTCGGGATTTTGAGAGGGGCGGAAGGAGGAGAGGCGTGGGGTGGGGGTGGGGAGGGGAAGCTGGGGGCGCCCCCATGAGGTGTGATCATATGTGTAAGGCTGAGAAGGGAAAGTACCTGGAAGTCGCGCACGATCATGGGGTAGGGGTGGGGGCCCGCGGCAGAGCCGAGGATGTAGTGGGTGGTGTCCACGTTGGTCACCCAGTCGCGGATCGCCTCTGACGTGGCGTCCTTGAGCGTGCGCGTGCCACTGTGCACCGCCCGCACCTGGACTCGTGTGGGGGCGGACACGAGGAGGGGCGGACACGAGGAGGGGCGGACACGAGGAGGGGCGGACACGAGGAGGGGCGGACACGTGAAGTGAGGGGAAGAGGGTGAAGATGTAAAAAATTCATGGTGGGTGATGGTGGGTGATGGTGGGTGATAGTGGGTGATAGTGGGTGATAGTGGGTGAGATTGGCAGATGTGATGCAGAGGTTCACGCGAAAGAACGACTTCAACTCCTGCCCTCCCCAATCCACGCTCTCTCCACACCACGCCCTCTCCACGCCCTACGCCCTCCGCCCCTGACAACCCCCTCCTCCGCCTCTCCCCATTCCGCTACTCCTAATCCCCAATCCCTGGTTCAGCCCTCATTCCCCCTATCCCTCCTTCCACACCCACAATTCAACCCCCCCCCCCTCCCCCCCCACTCCTCACCCCAACTCTCCCCTCCCCTCCTTCCGCCAAGTCTCCTATCACCCCAAACCAACACCCCCTTCCCCCCCCCCTTCCCCGCACCTCTGCGCCCAGCAGGCGCATGCGGAACACGTTGAGCGCCTGCCGCCGCATGTCCTCCGCGCCCATGTACACGATGCAGTTCAGCCCGAAGCGCGCGCACACCGTCGCCGTCGCGACGCCGTGCTGCCCCGCGCCCGTCTCCGCGATGATGCGCTTCTTGCCGATGCGCTTCGCCAGGAGCACCTGACCAATGGCGTTGTTGATCTTGTGCGCGCCCGTGTGGTTCAGATCCTCCCGCTTCAGGTACACGTGCGGGCCGACGCGGCGCGAGGGATCAGCGGGGTCGGGGCGCGAGTAGTGCTCCGTGAGGCGCTCCGCGAAGTAGAGCGGCGACTCGCGACCCACGTAGTCTTTGAGGATCGACTGGAACTCCGCCTGGAATCATTGAGACGAAAAGGGGAGGGAGAGGGGAGGGGGGGAAGGGATGTTAAGAAAAAAGGAAATTGCGACCCACGTGGTCCTTGAGGATCGACTGGAACTCCGCCTGGAATCATTGAGACGAAAAGGGGAGGGAGAGGGGAGGGGGGGAAGGGATGTTAAGAAAAAAGGAAATTGCGACCCACGTGGTCCTTGAGGATCGACTGGAACTCCGCCTGGAAAGGAACGCTGGGACGATGCTGCTGAGAGACATTGGAGTGAGGAGAAGGCGATTGAGACCCACGAAGTCCTTGAGAATCGACTGGGACTCCGCCTGGGGAGGAGCGATGGGACGGGGAGAGGAATGTTGAGAAGTGGAAAGGAGGCGATCGTGACCCTACCTTGAAGATTGCTTGAAACATCGCCTGCGAACGTGAAGGGATGCAGGGTTCGTTTTCACTGGCGAATATAGTTCCATTCAGACATAACTTTATTTTACAATCGCAATTTAGGGCTCACAGAAAGTCCCCAGTGCGATCAGCATCATACTCGAATCAGCTTACCTGAAAAGCAGGATCCTGGACTGTCTCGTTGTAAACCTTCTCGAGATTATCCAACGCGGCCATGAGGGTCTCTGGAACGTACTTGCCGCCGAACTGGCCATAGCGGCCGAACGAGTCAGGGCGCGCAAGATCCTTCATCTGGGGGGATTCAGAGGGTTTTACGAAGGAACAATAAGCGACAATGTTGAAAAGAATTCCCCTTTTTCATGAAGCAGGAAGACCAATATTATCCCAAAATAAGGGAATCGCGACGATCGGATGCGCAGCAGCTCAACAGTAAATTGGAAATGTCAAGCCGCATTTGCTGCAGGATTAGGCTTACGGCACTTCTCTTTTCGCTGTTCTCGACCTTAACGAATCATCGGAGATTCCTGATGACTAAGTTGAATGACTTTCTCTGGCTACTCAAAACGATAATAGAAAACATCTTGAGACCTGTCTTCTGGATTCTCCGTAGTGATTACCTAAGGACTACGAAAGGTCTACCTTTGGTGAGTCAGCAGCCGCTGGCTTGATCTCCGCTACAGCTCTGACCTTCGCCGTCCCGCGAACGCTCTTCGCGAGCTTGCTAAAACTAGCGGAGTGGCTCACGGGTTGCCATCCCACAGTTCGCCGTGAGCTGGACGCGGACAGATCAGACTGACACGTTGACAATGCAGCAGCACGGACCGCAGGCGCTTCAATGGCCGCCATGATAGCGTTCGGAAGGGAAAGACGCTTCTTGAACACTTAAGACTGAAGATCACTACGTGGATGCCACTCAAGCAAGGACGAAGCTGCAAGCACTCCTAATTGCTGCCAAACTCGGCTAGCAATGACTTGGAGAACTGCAAAGAAATGGGAAAGTGGAGAAGAAAAGGGGGAAGGAGCACTGCAGTTGGGGGGGAAGGAGCGGGGGGGGCGGAAAACGAGGGAGTTGGGGGGAGTTTGGGGGCCGGTTTATGGGGAGTTTGGGCGCAGAAATGGTTCAACAACAGAAAGCCACGTCAGAGCAACATCAGTGCTGATTGTCTATCAGCAAAATACTGCTGACCAATCGGAGGAGCCTCACTTTCGACAATTCCCTTGGTTTTGCCCCACGTCTCGTCTGTAACTCATACTCATCGCAACTGGCTCCTATCTGGTCTCGCCTGCTTTGCGAAATATTTTCTGAAAGCCTTTCTGAGCAAGTATGTGGGGGTGGGGGGGGTGCTGCTGCACCAATCATGGGTGGAGATCTGCCTGACATCTCCAAGGCTGGCCGTCTGGGAGTCAGATTTGGTAGTATCTGTGTTGTTGAAGTTGAGAGAATCGACAGTTCGTATGTTTCCAGATTGAAATTGCTACACCCAACGGAAAGGATTCACACAAGGAAAAGCTTGGGAATAGACTTGGATCCAGGAAGGAATAAGTACCAACAGGATTCCCAGGATATTAATTCACTGATGTAATGCAAGTAGCATACTATCAGGCTTGCCTTTTATAGGAGGCCCGTGAACCCGCAGTGGGAAGAACTATTTTAAGATCCCATCAAGCAGTATTGTTTCTGTGCTCAGGCGATGATACTAGAAGAATAAGCCACAATGGCGAGGCAACGGAAACCGATAAGGACTAACAGTGGAAAGAAAGGAGGACGCTTAGCGGCTTTCAAATGCTGCATGATATCGCTTGCACTGATTGCGATCGTGTGCATTCCTCTAGGTTACTGGAGAATCCATAGACGAGGTGAGCTTTCGCTGGACTGCCCTGGACGTATCTGCATTTTAGATTGGATATTAGCTGGAATGATAATGTACTTCCCTATTTCTGGTTTGTGATCTCAGGTCAATTAGCAGCAAAAGCTCTATCGTCTAGACGCAGCCTAAACGAGGTAATTACGGCATTGCGAATTTACCACGATTTACAAGCAGCTGATTTTCCTGGCTTAGAACCTCGTCAAAAGTTCACTGAATTGGAAATTATGCCGATCGTTTCCTTTTGCAGGAACCTGTTTTGAAGCCTACAGACTTATCTCAAGGTGAAGCTTCATTGAGTTACTTGCTTGACGCTGTTTCGCAGCATGTGCTGCTATTCTACTCCCAAATGTTGGCATTCCATCGCAATACGGGTTGCGTCTACTTATTGATTTCTCAACATTTTCCTTGCAACTTTCCTAAATCTTGTCCCCCTGCTAACGACGTGACTTTTAATTCGCAGAATCTTCGCACGTTGACGTTCGACGGCCTGAAATTCAGTCTAACGATGCGTCTGGAGGCGAATCTTTCGTGTTGACAGAACGCCAGAACTCAGATGCAACTGACAGACCTACCTTAAGTAGAGCTTCGGACGAAGCAAATGCTGACAACGATGACGTCCAAGGGCAGAACTTTGACTCATCGGAGGATAGAAAGACGATGACTCAAAGTTCCGAGTCAGGTGGTGATGGTGGTTTTGGCGGTGATGGTGGCAATAGAGGTGGTGTGGCTGCTGAAAGTGGTGGTGCTGGGGGTGATGATGGTGTTGATGCTGGTGGTGCAGATGGAGAGGACAGCAATATACATTCAGCCATCAATGATGCTAAGCCGGAGGACAATGATCAGGAAGAAGTTGAGGATACCCAGTTGAAAAAACCACTAGAGTCGGGGATCCAGATGGTTCCAGAACGTGCGGAAGGTGCGGATGGCGATGGAGAGAAGAGAATGGAGACAACTGGTGCAGACAAGGAGGAGAGTGATGGGGAGGATGGAGACACGGACGAGGAGAGTGAGGATGGCGGGAAGAAGAATCGGAGGAGAAAGAAGAAGAAAAAGAAGAGACATTCCAAGAAGAGGACAGGAAACAGACGTAAGTGCTTCAACTCTTCTTCTGCTGATTTTCCAATGGCTTCCTTTCCCCATATCACTCATTATCATTTCACAAATTGTCATCAGTGGAGAGTGCTTCATTCCCCCTTTCCCCTCAAGATACTCGCCAGCTCGTGTTCACACGATCTTCTTAGCTGCTGCAACCCATCTCCTCATCCGTTCCCCTGATACCCTTCCCCACCCTCCATTCAGCATGTGAGGTTGATCACTTGGACAATGGAGACAGCGTGCAACTACCAGACCTGGAGGGACTCCCCAGCTCTTGCTTAAGTGAAATTTTAAGCTGCAATCCATCTCCTCAGAATCTTATCAATACTTCCCATTACACTTCTTGATCCCACTTTCAGCATGTGAGGTTGACTACTTGGAGAGTGGAGACAGCGTCCAAGTACCAGACCTGGAGGGACCCAACCCCACAACCCCTCACTACGTCGCCATGGAGCATCCTCCTGCTGCCGACTCCTCCTCCTCTTCCTCCTCCGCGCTCAGCCTCCTCGGCCGCTCCTCCAACACGTGGGCCCCACGCTTTGCTGGCCACCAGACGTGGCGACAGCGCGCTGACTCGTTCCGAGCTGGCAGGGCTGATTGGCCGCCAGAAGCGCAGGTGCACTGCGGCTTTGTGCAGTCGCCACCCGGCTGGCCGGGGACAGGGTTTGATATCTCCAAGGCGGACCAGATGTACTTGGAGCAGTGCCGCATTGCTGTGGTTTCGGCTATCTTTGCCGACTGGGACCACCTCAGGCTGCCTCAGCGCTCCAAGGTGGGACCTCTGAAAGGCATGCTCTGTATGTTTGTGCTTATTTCAGACAAGGCATCAGTGGAGGGGCTGGTCGGGTCGAGGAGAACATCTTCCCTCCATGCCAAAAGGCAATGTGGGGTTCCAGTGGCTGTCTCTAGGTGGTTAGACTAAATCCGCTCTCTCTCTCTCTCCCTCTTACTTCCCCAACCCAGATCTCCGTGACAGCCAAGCGCAAGGCGTGTTTTGTGATATTCGTGGACGAGCAGACAGTGAGGGGGCTGTACAGGGACAACCTCATTCCCGATGCCAACGGCAAGGTGGGGCTGTGGCGCGTGGTCGTGGTGGCCCATCCGCCCTACTCTGACGCGCGTCGCACGGGGAAGATTCCCAAGTTGCTCACTCACCGCCTCTTCCCCAACGCCAAGTGAGTGTGGGGTGGGGTCACGTGCTTCGAGTTGAAATGCAGTAATGTGGGGCTATGGCACGTTGTGGTGGTGACCAATCCGCCCTCCTCGGACGCGCGGCACAGGGGGAAGTTCCCCAAGCTGCTCACACACCGCCTCTTCCCCAACGCCAAGTGAGTGTGGGGTGGGGTCACGTGCTTCGAGTTGAAATGCAGTAAGCTGGGGCTGTGGCACGTCGCGGTGGTGGCCAATCCGCCCTACTCCGATGCACGGCACACGGGGAAGATCCCCAAGCTGCTCACACACTGGCTCTTCCCCAACGCCAAGTGAGTGCAGCTGTGTGGTTGTGAGTGGAGACGCTCCAGGTATGTGGCAAAGATGCAGAGCCTGTCCCTCTGATGCCTGGCAGTTGCGTCAAACGAATGCAAGCACATGGACGACGTGAGCCTGCAATCCACGTTGTTCTCTTCTCTTCAGTGCTACAGCTATCCCCTGCCACCCACACCCGCTCTTGCAGTGATGCATGTATTTCCTGCCACTCGCTGTTGCGATGGTAGATCTACCCCCTGCTGCCTGCCCTTTAATTTACCTCTATTGTGGTACCGCCCTTCCCCTTCTCACCCCCAGGTATTCCATGTGGATTGACAGCAAGCTGCGGCTCTTTGTGGATCCGCTAACCATCCTGGAGCGGTTCCTGTGGCGGGGAGGTTTTGAGTATGCCATCTCCAACCACTACGACCGACACTGCGTGTGGGAAGAGGTGAGGAACGGAATGAGGTGAGGGATGGGAGGAGATGACGGTTGGGGGGAGGTGAGGGATGCCAGGAGTTGAAGAATGAGGGGACGTGAGAGATGGTGGGAGATGAGAAACTGTGGGGTGCGTAAGGTATGGGGGATAGGGCGTGGACAGTTTGAGGCATGGAAGGTAGGTGTTTGATCAGTGAGGCCGCGTGGAGTTGTAGTCTGTCGCTCAACAGGAGTTGGAGGTTTCTTCTGTGCACTATGGCGTGCTGTTGCATTACTTGGCATAATCTTGACACACGTCATGTCATGGCGTGGAATGGCACGGCATGGATGACATGGCATGGCATGGGTGGTGCATTGCATGTGTGGTCAGGTGGAGCGCAACAAGAAGCTGAGCAAGTACAATGCGACGGTCATTGACGAGCAGTTTGAGGCGTACAAGGCTGATGGGCTCACCATGTTCAACCCCACCGACCCCAACAACCTGCTCATCAGCAGTGAGTGTGTGGAGCAGTGAGTGTGTAGTGCAGCGAGTGTTTGAAGCAGTGAGTGTGTAGTGTATCCCAAAAGGCCGAGCAAGTACAATGCGACAGTCATTGACGAGCAGTTTGAGGCGTACAAGGCTGATGGGCTCACCATGTTCAACCCTACTGATCCCAACAACCTGCTCATCAGCAGTGAGTGTGTGGAGCAGTGAGTGTGTAGTGCAGCGAGTGTTTGAAGCAGTGAGTGTGTAGTGTATCCCAAAAGGCCGAGCAAGTACAATGCGACAGTCATTGACGAGCAGTTTGAGGCGTACAAGGCTGATGGGCTCACCATGTTCAACCCCACTGATCCCAACAACCTGCTCATCAGCAGTGAGTGTGTGGAGCAGTGAGTGTGTAGTGCAGCGAGTGTTTGAAGCAGTGAGTGTGTAGTGTATTCCAAAAGGCCGAGCAAGTACAATGTGACTGTCATTGACGAGCAGTTTGAGGCGTACAAGGCCGATGGGCTCACCATGTTCAACCCCACTGATCCCAACAACCTGCTCATCAGCAGTGAGTGCCCAACAACCCGCTCCTTCTTTGCTCCCCACCCCCCTGCTCCCCACCCCCCTGCTCCCCACCCCCCTGCTCCCCACCCCTCTGTTTCTCACCCCCCTGCGCCCCACCCCCCTGCTCCTCACCCTCCTGCTCCCCACCCTCCTGCTCTGCCATTCCTCTGTGCTCCCCCACCCTTCCCAGACGTGCCGGAGGGGTCAGTGATCATAAGGGCGCACACAGCTGCCGCCAACCTGTTCTCGTGCCTCTGGTTCAACGAGGTGGACCGCTTCACCTCCCGCGACCAGCTCTCCTTCGCCTACACGTACCACAAGATGGCCCGCACCTCTCACCCGCTGAGGCTCAACATGTTCAAGGTGAATCAATGCAGTCAATGCAGTCAATGCATTCAATGCAGTCAATGCAGTCAACACTTTTTTAGTTGGCTCTGAAAATGCGACCAGCTCTTCTTTGCCTGCACGTACCACAAGATGGCTCGCACCTCGCACCCCCTCCGGCTGAATATGTTCAAGGTGAGTGAGTCAATGCAGTCAATGCAGTCAACGTGGCCAACACTTGACTCAGAAAACGCAGGCAGCTCTCCTTCGCCTTAACGTACCACAAGATGACCCGCACCTCTCACCCACTCCAGCTCAACATGCTCAAGGTGAGTCAATGCAGTCAATGCAGTCAGCTCAGTCAACGCTCGGCTCAGTACGTGACCAGCTCTTTTTTGCCTACGCCTACCTCAAGATGGTGTGCACGTCTCACCCTCTCTGGCTCAGTATGATCAAGGTAAGCCAGTGAGGACAATGCGAGTCGATATGGGGTCAATGGGTGAGGATGAATGTGGTTATGGGCGAAGGTGGGGCAATGAGGTCTTAATGACAATCATCAAGGTAACCACGCTAGGCTGGATGGCCTGAGGGTGACCATATGCTGCCTGATCTTTCTGCTGCTCGCACGAGACACTGAAACCAGCGCCCCAGAAAATTGTGAACCATGATACATCTTTTCAGGCGCCTCATGATAAGGCTAAGTTTTCACCGTTTCGTCGACAAGCTACCCGATGTGTCGATTCAATGTGCATGAAAGTCTGTGTGCAGCGTCCTAGTGATGTGCATGCGATGAGAAAGCATGTACCTGCTTTTAGACTCCTGGGGCTCAACTTTCAACATCGCTAACAACCTTACCGTATCTGCCCGAACCAATGCACGTGTGCAGGACTGCGAGCGTCGGTCGTTTGTGAAGCTCTTTCACCACAAGGCTGAGGAGGCAGCACTCAAGCTGGAGCGAGGCAGGGCTAGGTAGCTGATGGGTCAAACCAAGTTATGCACAGCCTCATTTCTGAGTACCTATGGTCATGCTTTTGCTGTACACCATATTGGCTCCAGCCTCACTAACAGAGAGAACTCGTTTATGGCAGGTAGTTCACGTAATGGTACAACCAAACCAAGCCAATCCGCCCTCCATTCTGGTGGAATTCCAATTTCCAACTTTGGAGGCAAATGCAGCATAAGTGTGGAAGCTCATACACAAGCAACCATTATCGAGTCAAATTCTGTCAAGCGAAGGCTCGCCTCAAGCAATGGCAGCAAAAAGAACCTCAACCAGAAACCCTCATCTTTACGGCAGTTATGGTACTACCAGTATGTGAGAGTGATGTTCACCCACAAATCTCTTCTGAGCCAACCCATATGAATTCTTACAAATTACCTCCAGGAGATGCGGCCTTAACGTCTACTGCGGAAATTATTGGGCCTTTCCGATCCAGGACTTGCTTCATCTTGCCTCCTTGACATACACAACCAGGCGGGTCTGCATGTGTAGTTTGCTTCGGCTAAAAATACCCCTTCGGCTCAGTCCCCATTCCCCTCTCCCCCTTCCCCTCCTCTCCTTTCCTCTCCTTTCCTTCCCTTCCCCTCATCTCGACTCTTCTGCATACACCTTCTCGCGGATCACCTCCAGGCGGGTCTGCACTTTCCCACGCCCCTCCTGTTCATTTCAGAGCATCCCTCAACTCTTCTCCTTGGAACACACCTTCTTACAAATCACCTCCAGGCGGGTCTGCACTGCATCGTCCCTTCCTTCACCCACCATTCCACCCTATCCTTCACCATTACCCCCCCTCCCCAGCCCTTCCCCTCATCTCTTCTCCTTGGAATACACTTTCTTACGAATCACCTCCAAGCGGGTCTGCATGATCCCGTCCTTCACCCACCACTCAACCGTATCCTTCTCCCCATACACTTCCGAGCACCAATCCATGTCCGCGCCCCGCTTGTGCACGTTCTCGAACCGCTCGTGCCGCACCGACTCCACTGACAGGTCTACGCCTCCTGTTCTTGGATCAACCACCTCGTTCTCCCCCATCAGGAACACCTGCCAGGGAGGGCAGTACAGGGGTGACAGGATAGATAAGGCCCTCTTGGGAATTTTATCGAACCGCTCGTGCCGCACCAACTCCACTGACAGGTCTACCCCGCCTGTTCTTGGATCCACTACCTCGTTCTCCCCCATCAGGAACACCTGGCAGGGCGGGGAGCAGGGGAGTGGAGGACAGGGCATGACAATGTCTGCTTGTTCTGTCCGCGCCCCTCTTGTTCCCAAACCGTTCGTGCCGCACCGACTCAACTGACAGATCCACACCACCTGTTCGTGGGTCCACCACCTCACTCTCCCTCACTCTCCCTCACTCTCCCTCACTCTCCCTCACTTCCCCTCACTTTCACAGTCTCCTCTCACCTTGCCAGTATTCGCCATAATGTATTGGTGCCCCCGGGTCCCCAGGCAGAAGTTGGCATCCACAGGAGGAGCCATACTGCGCTGTCTGTAAGTCATCATTTCCCACTGTGCCTCCCTTTTCTGAGGTAACTAGAAAATGCCCCACCGTGCCCCCCTCCTCTCACCTTGCCAGTATTGGCCATAATGTATTGGTGCCCTCTGGTCCCCGAGCAGAAGTTGGCATCCACAGGAGGGGCCATACTGCTCTGTAAGTCATCATGTCCCATCCCCCCCTCGCTTCTCTCACCTTGCTCGCCTCTCTTCTCACCTTGCCAGTATTGGCCATGATGTAGCGGTGCCCTCGGGTCCCCGGGCAAAAGTTAGCATCCACAGGAGGGTCGCCCTCAGAGCACAGGAAGTGCGGCCAGTGCCACAGCATCCTCTCCTGCGGCATGAGACCCTTGGTGCGACTGCTCACCTGCCAGGAGGGGAGGAAAGATAGAGGGTCAGCATCAGACCAACAGAAAGCACAAGGACAGAGGGAGGCACAGGGAGAGAGGGAGGCACAGGGGCAGAGGGTCGCCTTCAGAGCCCAGGAAGTGCGGCCAGTGCCACAGCATCCTCTCCTGGGGCATGAGACCCTTGGTGCGACTGCTCACCTGCAAAGATACCAGATTAGCAAAAGTACAGGCACCAAGGGAGGGTACAGAGAGAGAGGGTCGCCTTCTGCAGATATCACAGGAAGTGCGGCCAGTGCCACAGCATGCGCTCCTGGGGCATCAGGCCCTTGGTGTGACTGCTCACCTGCCAGGGGGTACTTGGGTAAGGGGGAGAGAGTGTTGGGGGAGAGGGGTGGAGAGGGGATGTAGGGCTAGGGTAATCAATAAAGGATTGCCTGCTGGCATGTGGGATGGTTCAGCCCGGCGCTGGAGTGTGGGTTTGATAGAGCGTGGTACTATGCGATGGTAGAGTATGGTTCAGTGCGGTTGAGTGTGGTGCAGTACAATGCTGCGCAGTGCGGTGCTCACCAGCTTGGTGCCCCAGACTTGACAGCCGTATGACAGCCAGGGCTTGTTGCGGTGCTGGAAGAGGAGCTCTGAGAGGGAGGAAAGTGGCTAGAGTGTGGTGCAATGCGGTGCGGTGCTGTGCGGTACACCGCAGTGCAGTGCCGTGCAATGCAGGGCTTACCTTTGTCCCCATGCACAATTTTGTGCCCCAGACTTGGCAGCCGTATGACAGCCAGTGCGGTGCAATGTAATATGGACGCACCTTGGTGCCCATACATAGCTTGGTGCCCATACATAGCTTGGTGCCCATACATAGCTTGGTGCCCATACATAGCTTGGTGCCCATACATAGCTTGGTGCCCATACATAGCTTGGTGCCCATACATAGCTTGGTGCCCATACATAGCTTGGTGCCCATACATAGCTTGGTGCCCATACATAGCTTGGTGCCCATACATAGCTTGGTGCCCATACATAGCTTGGTGCCCATACATAGCTTGGTGCCCATACATAGCTTGGTGCCCATACATAGCTTGGTGCCCATACATAGCTTGGTGCCCATACATAGCTTGGTGCCCATACATAGCTTGGTGCCCATACATAGCTTGGTGCCCATACATAGCTTGGTGCCCATACATAGCTTGGTGCCCATACATAGCTTGGTGCCCATACATAGCTTGGTGCCCATACATAGCTTGGTGCCCATACATAGCTTGGTGCCCATACATAGCTTGGTGCCCATACATAGCTTGGTGCCCATACATAGCTTGGTGCCCATACATAGCTTGGTGCCCATACATAGCTTGGTGCCCATACATAGCTTGGTGCCCATACATAGCTTGGTGCCCATACATAGCTTGGTGCCCATACATAGCTTGGTGCCCATACATAGCTTGGTGCCCATACATAGCTTGGTGCCCATACATAGCTTGGTGCCCATACATAGCTTGGTGCCCATACATAGCTTGGTGCCCATACATAGCTTGGTGCCCATACATAGCTTGGTGCCCATACATAGCTTGGTGCCCATACATAGCTTGGTGCCCATACATAGCTTGGTGCCCATACATAGCTTGGTGCCCATACATAGCTTGGTGCCCATACATAGCTTGGTGCCCATACATAGCTTGGTGCCCATACATAGCTTGGTGCCCATACATAGCCTGGTGCCCATACATAGCTTGGTGCCCATACATAGCTTGGTGCCCATACATACCTTGGTGCCCATACATAGCTTGGTGCCCATACATAGCTTGGTGCCCATACATAGCTTGGTGCCCATACATAGCTTGGTGCCCATACATAGCTTGGTGCCCATACATAGCTTGGTGCCCCAGACTTGGCAACCATAGGACAGCCAGGGCACATTGCGATGCTGGGAGAGGAGCTCCACGAAGGAGAAAAGTAGCACAGTTTGGTAGAATGTAGTAAAGTACGGTGCAGCATGGTACAGTTCGGTGCTCACCTTTGTCCCCATGCACAGTTTGGTGCCCCAGACTTGGCAGCCATAGGACAGCCAGGGCACATTGCGGTGCTGGTCGAGGAGCTCTGAGAGGGAGGGCGGTGAGATGATGTGGAGAATGTCGTCCCAGTCTAGGAAGAGGACCCACGAGGAGGTGAGTGTGGAGCGGTAGAGACAATCGTGCATCGCCATGAGCTGATGGGAAGGAGTGGGGGATTGATCGAGGGGGGAACAAAGATGGGGGGGGGGGGGGGAGGGTGGGGGGATGAGGCGAGATGATGTGCAGGATGTCATCCCAGTCGAGAAACAGGACCCACGAGGAGTTGAGCGTTGAGCAGTATAGACAGTCGTGCATCGCCATGAGCTGATGGGGAAGAAGGGGAAGGGCGGGGGAGGGGTGTTAAAGGGGGTGAAAACAGGGCTGGGAGGGCGGCGAGATGATGTGCAGAATGTCGTCCCAGTCAATGAACAGGACCCACGAGGAGGTGAGTGTTGAGCGGTACAGACAGTCATGCATCGCCATGAGCTGGAATGGGGAGAAGGAGTGGGGAATGAAGGATATAGGTGACAGAAGTGGGGAGAAGGCGGCGAGATGATGTGAAGTATGTCGTCCCAGTCTAGGAATAAGACCCATGAGGAGGTGAGTGTGGTGTGGAGCGGTAGAGACAGTCATGCATTGCCATGAGCTGGCCAGGAAGAAGGCAGGAGGGGATGTGCTACGAGGTGGGAAGATCTTAAACCCCCCTTAACCCCATGACTCACAGTTTTGAGACGTCTCAAAACTTAACCCCATGACTCACAGTTTTGAGACGTCTCAAAACTTAACCCCATGACTCACAGTTTTGAGACGTCTCAAAACTTAACCCCATGACTCACAGTTTTGAGACGTCTCAAAACTTAACCCCATGACTCACAGTTTTGAGACGTCTCAAAACTTAACCCCATGACTCACAGTTTTGAGACGTCTCAAAACTTAACCCCATGACTCACCTTGCCCTGAGCCTGCACCCTAAAGTGGATCACATCTCTCATCAGCACCACTTCTAGAAATTTCTCATCCAGAAACCCCCTTCCCTTGCGATTGAACCCACAGTCTCAGAACTTACCTTCGTTGCCTCTTTAACCCACATTCCAGGACTCCCATTTCCTGTCTCGACTCACCTTGCCTTGCGCTTGCACCCTGAAGTGAACAACATCCCTCATCGGCAGCACTTCCAGAAACTTCTCCTCCAGAAACTCCATCACTTCACGCAGCGCCGCCCGGTCCACGCCGCCCGCATCATACCCAACCACGTGCTCCGCTCCGTATGCCCGGTGCACATGCAGCCAATCGCGCAGCCTCGCCCCATCCACAGGGTCGGCAATTGGGTACGTGCAGAAAGAGGCTCGGTACGGGTGGGTCGTGGACAGCAGCGCGTGGGTCGGGGAATCCCGATCCTCCCGGTACAGGATTATATGCTCGTTGTCGATTCCGACGACGAGGTAACCGCCAAGGTTGGTAACCACCTTCCCGCGCAGGTCGCAGCGGATGATGATGGTTTCGTACTGCTCGTGCGGCTCGTCCCGCGGGTAGTGCAGCGATGGGTCGCCCAGTATTGTCACCCCGTCCGCCCCATGCCACGTGCATGATGTGATCTTAACGAAGGGGAGGGGGAGGGAGGGAGGGGGGAATGACAGAGGGGAGGAGGAAGGGAAGAGGATAGGGAGTGGGGAGGTTTTTGTGATGCTGGGGGGGGGGAGAAAGGAGCGGGATAGGGGATGATGATGATCTATACTGTTTGTTGGAGGGACGGAGGGGGGAGGGAGGGGGATGGGCAATGGGGGCTACTGAAGGCGCAGTGGAGGGGACATGAGGGGACATGAGGGGACATGAGGGGACTCTGGACGTCACACTGCATTCTGTTGCCGGCGATCTCACTCTCCTGTGCACCCACTCACCTACTCACCCACCCACCAGCCCGCCTTCCTCCCTTGCAATGATTTTTTAGGCGCCTCAAAAATCACACTGCATGCTGTTGCCGGCTATCTCACTCTCCTGTGCACCCACGCGTCTACTCACCCACTCACCCACCCACCGGCCCCGCTCCCTCCCTTGCAATCGCACCTTCCCCACGTCCCACCCGTGACTGACCCCACCTTCCCGTGTCCACATTCCTGTGATATTTATATTTGCTGTTACCACATTCCCCTGTTCCCACCTCCCGCTACCACCCACTCCCCATAACCCCACTTCCCTCTGATTCCACCACACCATCCCCTGCCTCACCTTCGTTTGAGGCCGCAGCAGCGTCGAACCGAACCCTACCCCAACCACCACCATCCCCTGTTCCACCGTCCCCGGCTCCCATTCCCAATGCTCCCACCTCCCCCTGCTCTCACCTTCCTGTGAGGCCGCAGCAGCGTCGCGCCGAATCCTACGCCCACCACCACGCCCTCCTGAATCCGATACGCGGACCATTGGACCAATCCGTACGTGCCACGTCCCACCATGCGGTGCTGCCGCCAGTTCTCGTTGCGCACGCCCTCCATGTGGCCCCACGCCGTCAGATTCAGATCCGCCTGGAGCGACGCGCACTGTTCCTTCACGTCGGATTTGATTCGCCGCACGTTCATGTAGATCGACAGGAGCAGGTACTGCACGGCGAACAGCAGCGTGATGATCAAGATCAACGGCCCAAATTTGCGGATGAATTTCACCGCGTGCGGCGGGATGGGAGGCAATTGCCCGATCCCGGGGATCACTATAGCGGGTATGCCTCCGTGAGGTCCCAAGTTCGATCCTCGCTGTCGGCCGCCTCCTCCGCGGAATTGCCCGGGCCGTTGTGGGGGTCCCGCGCCGGGACCTGAGGGAGGTGGTATCCGGTGTAGGTCGTACTCGCCGACGGGCTGTATTGGCTGCATTTTGAAATGTGGCTGGGCGTGAAAACAACCCGAGTTGAAAGTCGACGTTTTACGCGATCCGCGCTTCACATAATCCGCAACAAGCTCATAAGCTTAGCGAGATTCCCGGAACTGGCTTGGTGATAGGTTGGGAAAGTAGCAAGGGTGGGGAGGTTTGATGAGCAACCGCACTTCTCCCAACGTTGGGTTTGGTGCGAGTGCGGGTTTGGAGAATGGGCCGTTGCGCGTGACGACGTTCCTAATCTGGGTTCGAAACGACCAAACACGTACGTACACCTGATTTTGCAATAGTGACTAGTGTCCGGATTGCAGTTAGGACCGGTCTCAGTCAGCAGTGTCAGAATAAAGAACCCAACTTGCAGCATAACAACCAAATGGTACTCTTTATAGAGCTGTGGTGGGTCCCGCATGTAGCCAGTGCAAAGTGTTCTTGTTAAGAAGCCCTGCTTTGACGATTCTATAATGTTCACGAGGATGTGATCTGCCGGTAGCGAACATTCGCGACGAAGCCAACACATTTCTCGCACCGTCGAACCGACTATTATTTTCCAATCAATTCCGCCCATCTGCTGATAAAATTGCCGAGCCGCGTAATCCAAGCACAGAGCTGTCACGTCAGTAAAGCAGTCGGCAAATTCGCCTCTTTCTTCGTTTCTTCGCGAATCTGGTTCGCTTCCGCCAGGCCGAGCCAAACCTAGTCCAAACCAGACTGTCTACTCCTTGCCTGCGACGTAGTGCCAGACCTGTGCCCATTTGGTGTGGAAAACGAGGCCCGAACGTAAATCCACTGGAAGCCAGCACCACTGTCAGGCGAACAACAAGTCACCGCTGGCAGCCGAAGCTACATGGAGACCACCACCAAAACCATGCCTGGCTTGGCTTGGAAGTTTGACGAGATTCACATCACTGCCACCACCATCCCCTCCACTTCATTTCCAGATTCTAGACTGAAATCCTTTTCAGAAAGCTTTGCTTTCCCAGCAGTCTTCATTAGTGACTAGACTAGTCCAGAGGCTTCCACAGAGAGTCATTGTTGTGAATGCTGATTTAGGAGATTTCCACAGAGGCTTCTGCCTTGATAGTTTTTTTGCGAAGCTTACTGTAATTCTCCCTTCTGTTGCTTGTACTGTGAGCTCTTTTAGGCAGGCGACTATTCCCTGATTGCGAGATTCGGAAGAGCCTTATAAGGAATGAAGCCACTTCCTCCTGATGACGTCGGCCTGGCCAAGATGCGGCTCGTCGTCCTCCCTAAAGCCGAAGCCGACGCGCTAGACGAGCTAATCGACGAAGCGTTAGACGCAGCGGACCCGGAGGGAGAGAGCGAGAGAGCATGGCGACGCTACCAGGAGGACTTAGCCAGCGAGCTGTCCGCCATGGCCAAATCTTCTGACCACCTCTGGCATTTTCTGGACGGCCTTGGCCGGCGGTTGCTGGAGAAGAAACAGGCTCAGGCGGAGGGCCAGCACCGGCCACTGAAACGATCACCCGGGTCCATTTCCCGAGGTAGGGAACCGAAACCGCGTCAGGCAAAACGCACCTTTCTTTATAGAATAATCTGCTTTTGCGCTCTTAGTTAGTTTCGGTGTCGAAGCAGTAACGGAACGGTGTTTTTTCAGTGTCAGTGCGTCACGTCTCAGCTTGGATACCCCTGAGGAATCTCAGTTGCACGTTTCATCCTCCTGCAGACGCGACGGCTTTTTTTCGTTTTCGTTTTAACCCTAGTCTATTATTACTTATTCATCCACTTACCCATTATCTCCAGGTGTTCTGCTTCTCCACGGGTTACTCCGGTCCTGCTCCGCCAATCAAGAATCAGACATCTGCAGCATGCTACTCTCCACGTCAACCCGTAAAGACCGACCTTCCCTCGACCTCCCTCGTCTGGCCCGTCGCCTCCACTACACCCTCCCCTCTCCTTCCACTCCCTCCTCCTCTGCCTCCTCCACAGCTGCCACGTCAGCCTCCGCTGGTGACGTCAGCGATGACGCGGCGTTGGCCCGGTTCGCGCACGCGTACTGCGTGTATCTGCAGGAGCGGCTTCGGTGCGTGGACAGCATAGGGCTCCAGGTGTTCCGCACGGGAGCCAAATCTGCAACCGGAGCAGCCAAAAACGGGGAAAAGGTATCTGAAAACGGCGAATTGAGGAATTCAGAGAGTGATTCAGAGCGGGGTTTGGGTGAGGCGTACTGGGTGCAGCTTCAGTCCGACGCTGTGCTGCAGCAGGTGGCCTCTCTCCAGCAGCTGCAGCAGCGCCTGGTGGACTGCGCCGCTGCTGCTCCCAGTGGTCTCGGCACCAGCTTCGCAGCAGGGAAAACTGCAGGGTCGGCCCCAGCAGGAACAGCAGGGGGAGCAGCGGCAGGTGCAGGGAGAGGAGCAGACGGGCGTGGGGGGGAGGGGGAGAGGGAGAGGCGGCGGCGAGTGGTGCGGTATGTGCTGGAGGTAGCGTTGGATGAGAGCTTCCGCGTGTATGGGTGGGTCAACTACGGGCTGATCGAGCTCATGGAACGACTCAGTCGCTTTCCCAAGGAACAGGTGGGTCACAAGAAAGCCAGCTGGGTACTTGTGCTAGCTGACGTGTCTACTTTGCTGAAGCCACCCTGCTGTCCTTTCTCATCCCCACCTCCCCTTCCCCCTTTCGTTTTCCCCGTCTCATCCTTCCACCCTTCGCCGTCCCATGCACTCTCGTCTACTCCCATCCAGGCCATGCGCGCGCTTCAGGTGTGCCAGTTCTCGGTGCAGCAGGGGAAGGCGTTATCTGACATGTACACGCGCCTGGGTGAAGCAGGGGTGGGCGCAGGTGTGGCCTTCCCCTCGGTGGCAGTACTCGGGGACGGCGTTATTGGCAACCTCTCCGCCTCCATTGCTGCAGGCCCGGATGCTCGCATGAGCGTTCCTCCCTCTCCCATGCACTCTGCTGCTGGTAGTGGTGGTGAATTCAGCAGCAGAGCCGGTAGTTTCGCTGATGGCAGTGCTGCTGGTGGTGCTAGTTTCAGAGGTATGGGACCGCCGCCGCCGCCGCAGCAGCACCAGCAAGCACAGCAGCAGCAGCAGCAGCCGAATTTGGACAGGAGTGACTCTCATCGTTCTCTTCCCAACGCCATGGTGCTCTTCACTCCTGTCCCAGGCCAACAACATGGTCATCCCCAATTTCAGCAGCAGCAGCAGCAGCAGCAGCAGCACCAGTACCAGCACCAGCATCAGCAGCAGCAGCAGCAGCAGCAGCAGCAGCAACAGCAGCAGCAGCAGATGGGTTATCAGCACCAGAACCCTCAAGGCCCCAGCCCGTACTACTCCTACAGCGCCTCTCAACCACCACCCCCCCAGCCCTCCAGCCCTGCTCTCTCCCCTGCCGCCCAGCAGCAGCAGTTTGACGACACCGCTCAAGCGCTCTTTGGGTCGTATTCCTCGCAGCCCTCTCCTGCTGCTACCTCTAATGCAGCCACGCAGATGAAGTACCTCACGAATGGTGCGCAGGTATGGGAGCGTGCTCTTGATGCTACAGCTGGTGCTGCAGGTGGTGCTTCAGTTGGTGCTTCAGGCGGTGTTGCGGGTTCGTACATGCCTCCAAGCCAGCAAGGGCAAGGAGGACAACAGGCACCCCATCTTTATCATCAGCATCAGCAGCAGCAGCAGCAGTGGGCACTAGCCGCTCCCAGGCTAAATGGTGGAAGCGGTACAGCTGGCAGCAGCCCATTGGATCAACCACCCATGACCGCCTTTTCTGGGGGCTGGGACCAGCTGTTACTGGACAGCCTGTATGAGGCGGCACAGGCACAGAAACACGCCTCTGATGCCACTGCCGCCAGATTGGGAGGAGCAGGAGGCAGTGGTGTAGGCGCTAGTGCTGCTGGTGCTGGTGGGAGTGGTGGTGCGAATGGGGATCCTTTTGCGGCTTCTGCTGCAGTCCCGCCGCCGCCGTATGTCCAGATGGCGCTTCGAGCGCAGCAGCAGCTGGCTATGGAGCTTCAGAGGCGCATGCTGAGTCAGCACGCGCGGTTCTTTGCGGCTGCGAGGTCTGCGGGAGGGGCGGATGCGATGTTTGCGGCGAGCTGGATGGTGCAGCAGAAGCAGATGCAGGTGTATCAGCAACAGCAGTACCAGGCGCGGCCGGGTGGGGTTGTTGTGGGGCCGTCGGGGCCGTATAACTGGAATGGAGTTGGTGTGCAATATGGCAACGTGCTAATACCTTTCTGAAGATATTTCCTGAACCGTTGGACCATGAGTCTATCCGCTCTTCTGTGTGTGACTATTTCGTTATTAAGATGAAGCGCTACTGAACATCTCTTTCCATCAACAACGTCTCACGAGTACGAGGAGAAACAATAGCGGGGTTGGTGTGAAGTTTCGAAGAGCTTCGGGTTATCAGTCTCTGTTGCCAGCTGTCGTCCTTCGTCCGGGCTCCACCACGTACATCCGCAAAATTTTCGAACCACCTCGTCCAATGCTGGATTTGTTCCATTCTCGGAACATCGAACTGCAATGTGCGCTTCGTAATTTGGAAATTGGAATTCGGAAGTTCCAAGGTCAGCCAAAATTAGCATTTCTTGAGCTGCTGCTTCTAGTTAGGTCCTAGTACAACCCTCTCCGAAGCTCCTTCTTATCAGTCCCGCCTTTCTGCCCTTCCGTCCTGATTCCTCAGACTAGTATCTACCCACCCTTTATTCCTCGTGTTTTCGGACGCATTTCGTTTTTCTTTTCCCCTTCGGTAGCAGCTTCTGAAGAAGAGGTCGACTTATACCTGACAAACCTTAGTTATTCTCAGCCTAGCATCATGAGGTCACGTAGCGTCCCTGTCAGCCTGTGGACGAGGCTGTCGTGGCCCAATCACGCGCTCATCCCGCGCAGCACGCTCGCCCTCGGCATAGTCTCGCTCTCCCTCACCTGCATCGCCCTCAGCGCCTCCCTCCTCGCCTCCTCTTTCATCCGCTCCGCTCCTCCCCCTGCCTCGCCTAGCAGCGCTCCTCATGGCCCCTTGCCGCGCTCACGCCACATCACAGCTGCAGATTCAGTTATCAGTGGAGATAAGCCGGGTACGGCGGAAGTTCTTGGAGGTTTGGACGGGTCTGGGGTGGAGATTCTCTCTGGAGAGATGACGTCCCTGGCAGGTGGAAAGGAGGGGAGCAATCCTCCTGAAAAAGCAGAGAAGAACGCTTCTAAAGATGAAAAAAAGGGCGGTTTAAGGTGGTACGAGTGGGTGCTGGGGGCTTTTGCAAGCCCTCTGGGAGCTTTCAGTGACCTCAGGGTTCCGTATCATGCAGAGCAGAGTGTCCTGCCGTCGGGTCAAGGCTCCTCGAGTACGAGACGAGAAGGGCGGGTGGTGACTTCTGCTACCGATGGATTGGAGGCGATGATTCGTGGTGATGATGGTGGTGGTGAAAGGGGCGGAAGGGGGGAGGTTGTTGCAGGATCGCATGAGAAGGAGAAGATGGCTGATGAGGAGGAGAGGGAGGAAAAGGAGAAGGGAGAAGGGGAGGAGGAGCAAGGGGAGTCACAGCTTCGGCACGTCATGTTCAACATAGCCTCGTCCCGAGCCACCTTTCCGTACCGCCGAGCCTACCTGCGCAGCTGGTGGCGCCCGGGTGGGCAGGAGGAGGAGATCCGGGGCTACGTGTGGGTGGATGACGTGGCAGCGGTCCCGCATGACGTGGCGTTGGACCCACCTGTGCGAGCCAGCAGCGACACGAGTCACCTGAGCTACCGCAGCACGGGGCTGAGGGAGTATTTGCGCCTGGCGCGGATTGTGGTGGATGCGTACAGGCTGGGAGAGACGGGCGTGCGATGGTGAGTGGTGAGATTTTATTCCAGATTAATTGTTGGAATCATTAATTCCACTCAGTGGGCCACCTGAGCTACCGCGGCACGGGGCTGAGGGAGTATTTGCGCCTGGTGAGAATTGTCTTGGACACATATAGGCTCGGGAAGAAGGGCGCGCGATGGTGAGTTTGTGTGAGACAAATCCCGCACGGATTCTTCCCCGCGCCCCTCCCAATCTGTCCTTCTGACCCATCCACCACCTCTCCGCATGTACGTGATGGTGATGGGAGACGACGACACCTTGTTCAATCCTCAAGCCATAGCAGCCTTCCTCCGTCAATACGACCACCGTACTCCACCACCTGGTACCACAGCCACACCCCCACTCCCCCCACCTTCCCTGCACACCACCAGGTACGTGATGGGAGACGACGACACGTTCTTCAGCCCCCATACCATCACCACATTCCTTGGACAATACGACCACAATACACCACTCTACCTGGGAGCGCCCTCAGAGACGCACTACCAGAACGTCGCCAACACGCACGGCATGGCGTTTGGTGGGGGAGGCTTTGCCATCTCGGCAGCGCTGGCGCGCATGCTGAGTGACGGAGGGGCGATGGACGCGTGTTTGGAGAGGCATGCCGCAGTGTGGGGGAGCGACGAACGCGTGGCTAGCTGCGTGGGAGAGCTGGGGGTGAGTGCTTGCATGTTCGGAAGGGCCAATGGATGTGTGGCATGGCAGGGCACGTGCCATTTCCTCTTGCCCGTGCCTCTTACTCCGCCACACCTTTCTTTCTCCTTAGAATCCTCTCCCGTGGGGTTCAGACATGTCTCAGTGAGCTGCGTGCGTGCAGTAGGCTAAAAAAATCACTCCAGCAGGCCTTTCTTTCTCCTTAGAATCCTCTCCCGTCCCCCACCAGGTCGATTCGGGTGGCAGTCTTGTCATGGCACAATCCTGTCAATCTCCTCTCTCATTCCCCTCCCCATCTCACTGCCCTCCCTCCTCCCCCAGGTATCCCTCACTCCAACCCCAGGCTTCCACCAGGTAGATCTGGGCGACAGTCTCTTCGGGCTCCTCATGGCGCAACCCCTGCATCCGCTGCTTTCCCCCCGGCCCCACACCTTGATTCCATTCCCCCTCTGCCCCCCCCCCCTCCCCCAGGTGTCCCTCACTCCAACCCCGGGATTCCACCAGGTAGATCTGGGTGGCAGTCTCTTTGGGCTCCTCATGGCGCACCCACTACAGCCGCTGCTCTCGCTGCACCACCTTGACTTCGTTGACCCGCTGCTGCTGCCAGCTGGCATCGCTGACCGGGCGGAGGGGCTTGCCACGCTGGCGGAGAGAATCCGGCCGGACCCAGTCGGGTTTGCACAGCTGGCAGTGTGCGGGGACGGGTGAGTGAGAGCAAGTGAGGAGAGGATGGGAGGGAGGGAGGAAGAAGGATGGCGAGGAAGGGTGGGCAAGGGTGAGGGGTGAGATCAAGAGAAGGCGGGGTGATTGGGGTGGTAATTGCTGGTTAGGAAAAAGCTCATTATGTTCTTGCCTGTGCCATGCACCTCGTCTCCCTAGCACTGCATCACGAGCACTTTTTTTTTTTGTTTTTTTTGTAACAATGCTCATCCTCCCATCGCTCCTAGCTCTTTTCTCCTCGCTCTTTTCTCCTCGCTCTTTTCTCCTCGCTCTTTCCTACATGCACCTCTCTCCCCCACAGCTTCCAGTGGACGACAGCCATCTCATGGGGCTTTGCCATCAAGACCTCCTTGCTCCTCAATCTGCAGTATAAGCATGTGGTTACACTGTAACAGCACTGATTCTCCTTCCGTTCCTCCCTCCTTGCTCCATGCACCTCCCTCCCCAACAGCGCCCAGTGGACAGCAGCCATCTCATGGGGCTTTGCCATCAAGATCTACCCCGGGGTATGTTCAGTTTAGTGCCACCAAGGTTGGGGTCTAATTTTGAGTCGACTCGGGGTTCGTTCGGTTTAGTGTCACCTAGGTTGGGGTCTATTTTCAAAGGCGTCTTTTGAGGAACAAAATCCGTGGTTGCAGATGTGCATTTAGTTTTAAGGCACCCATGTGTGGTTGCATGTCTACATGTGGAGCTCGTGTTCACGCATGCATACTCGTGTTCACGCATGCATACTTGTGTTCACGCATGCATGGTACCTTGAGCTGTGAGCTCAAAGGGTAGCAAAGACCCGTCTTCTCCCCTGCTTGCTCGCCCAGTCGTTCTCCCCACACCAGGCGCAGCTGCTATCGGAGCCGGTGGGGGAGGAGCGAACGTTCTACTCCGTTGTGGAAAATGCCATTCTTACCGCATTCTCATTTCTTCTCCTTGTGTGCTCCCTCCATCCTGCAACCCCTCTCCCCCTTGACGTTCCTCACACCTGGTGCAGCTGCTATCGGAGCTGGTGGGGGAGGAGCGAACGTTCTACTCCGTTGTGGAAAATGACATTCTTACCGCATTCTCATTTCTTCTCCCTGTGTGCTCCCTCCATCCTGCAACCCCTCTCCCCCTTGACGTTCCTCACACCTGGCGCAGCTGCTATCAGAGCTGGTGGGGGAGGAGCGAACGTTCTACTCCGTTGTGGAAAATGACAGTGGAAAATGACATTCTTACTGCATTCTCATTTCTTCTCCCTGTGTGCTCCCTCCATCCTGCAACCCCTCTCCCCCTTGACGTTCCTCACACCAGGCGCAGCTGCTATCGGAGCTGGTGGGGGAGGAGTGAACGCTCTACTCCGTTGTGTGGGGAGTGCCGCAGACCAGAGGGCGTCCTCCCTTCATTGCCACACGCTCCCCTTGCATGCTCTTTCTTTCTTTCGCCCTGCACCCCCCTCTTACCCCTGATTTTGCTCCTCAAGCCTGGCACGGCTGCTATCGGAGCTGGTGAGGGCGGAGTGAACATTCTAATCCATCGTGGAGAGTGAGTGCCGAGGACCAGGACACATCCTCTCTTCACTGCCACACGTTCTCCTCGTATGATCTCTCGCCCCACTCCAACGATCATTCCCACGCCAGGCGCGGCTGCTATCAGAGCTAGTTAGGGCGGAGCGAACGTTCTACTCCTTTGTGGGGAGTGCTGCTGGCCAGAGTGCATCTTTCCTTCATTGCCACTTGTTCTCCTCTGTGCTCTCCCCCCTCCCCTCCTCCCCTCATATGTTTCTGCTCCCCTGGCCAGGCGCGGCTGCTATCAGAGCTGGTGAGGGCAGAGCGCACGTTCTACTCCTTTGTGGGGAGTGCCGACCCCACCGCGTTCACCTTCGATACCAGGACACCAGAGGTGCGTGCATGCTCTTGGTTGGGTGTGTGTGTGTGTGGGGGGGGGTGTGTGTGTGTGTGTGTGTGTGGGTGTGTGTGTGTGTATGTATGTGTGTGTGTGTGTGGAAGGTGGAGACAAAGGTGGGATTGTGGGTCGGTGAAAGAGGTACATGGGTGTGGTTGCGTGGGCATGTGGTGCTTGAGTGTGTGCGTATGTGTGAGCGTGGTTTTGTGGGTGGGTGTGTGCATATGTGTGGTTTTAATGGGGTGGGGGGGGAGGGGAAGGGAGGAGTGAGAATGGAGGGGGTTGTATGGGTGAGGAAAGAGGTGCATGTGTAGTGTGCGTCGGGGAAAGGAGAGGGGAATATTGGTAAGCATGTGTGGTGCTCATTTTCCAGTTTTTCCCCCTTCCTGCCTTGTAAGAAAATTATATTTTGCCTTTTCCTTGCAGGATGATGCTCCCCCGCATGAATTATGCGCCTTGCCCTTTACAATGTATGCAACATATGTGAGGCAAATGGACGCCAACACGACCTCTCCTATCAAGGATCCAATTGCTTCTTTGGTTAGCGTGTACAATCGCACATCGTTCTTACGGAGGCTCGACCGTTCCCATTGCCCTCTCGCCATTTCGAAGGTGATGTCAGCGCGCATAGTCAGACCTCAAGGGCCGATGCGGATGCGTAGGGGGCCTAATCACATGGGATGGCCAGGACCAAACCTGAGGAGGCAAAGGTGTGTCAAGGTAGAGTTAAATGATGATAAGATGGATGATTTGACATTGACGGTTTGGTTAGAGGATGTATAAATTCCTTTATATGGTGTATAAGCTTGACGTGAATAGCATGGCTTGTTCACATCTCAGGAGTGCCAGTCTGACACAAGGGGTGTTAAAATTGTCGTTTTCGAAGAGGCGGCACCTTGCCAAGCTTGTGCAACTGGATAACCTTGGCGAATGCAGGGGGGATGTGTTGACAGTTTTGCCCTCTTCTCCACCACCTGGCCCCTTTCCGCTGCGCGAAGTAGATCTCGACGAAATTTGGGTCTCTCCCCAGCCCCTGGCCCCCCGTGCACCACATGTCTCACGCGCTAACACCTGCGAGTTGGAGTGGGCAGCAAACAAAAATGATGTGGACCAATAAGGTGGGCGTTGAAAAGATGAAGAATCCAATTCCACATCGGGTCAGGAGGAACGAACAAAACCCACCAACTAAGAAGAGACCTACGGAATAAGGCAACAGAAACCACGATCGTATTTTAAGAAGACCTCAGAAAACCCCTCGAAACCTTTAAAACCATATTTATCCCTCAATAAACTTCTGATTCCAAACAGCAGCGCACACTCTTCCGTCTCCGCAGCTCCCCCCTCCTCCTCCCCCTGTTCTCCCCACCCCCTCTCTCGGTCCCACTCGCTTCCCCTTCCTCCCTCTCTTACCACCTCCCCCCCTTTCCCCCCATTCTTCCTCGCACTGTCAAGCACACTCGCATGAATCTTGCTGTTCATCCACCTAGCCAGCAAAAGCAGGAAAAGCAGCAGCATCACCAGCAGGAAAAGCAGCAGGAGCAGCGGCATCGCCGGCAGCAAAGCAGCAGCAACAGGATGAGATGAGAGTGAGAGCAGTGGTGGAGACTGGAGACAACCCCCGCCACAATGGTGCGTGCTGCCGTCATCCAGTTGTCGCGTCGCGAGCATCCCTATAAACCACCTCGCAAGGCTCGGTGACATCTTCTTGCCTCTCGTTCACTACGTATCAGACAGTTAGTGATTGACGAGTCCTGTAGTTTGCTTCGATCGTCCTAATCTATCAACTATCGTTTGACCTAGTCCGCTCACCGTAGCCTAATATGCCCATTAGAGAAAGAAAGCGGAACAATTCATGAAGAATCGTCCGCCAGAGCGCGCTGCGACTTCCGCTGACTTAGACTGGTAATTTCTTCCGGCCGGTAGTAATTTTCCGCCCCCAGTACTTCCCTGCCGATGGATTTTACTCCGCTCGGGTCTCCGGGCGTTAGTGATTCGCAAGACCGCGATTATTGGAACCGCGACCTCCGAGAATCCAAAATTCACTGCACTGCCGCGGGTGCTTACGAGACGGCTCAACCGGATATCGCGAATCTTGAGAAGCACTTGTCGCCGCCTTCGAGTTTTGTTTTAACTAGACTCGAATCTCATCAGCCTACGGCATTGCATCGACGGAACCTGCGTGCGAGGGTTTTTTAGCGAGGCGACATGGGGACTCTGAACGATTACACCCATGATTCGCGTCGCGTCGTTTCGAATAGCCTCTATTTGAGCAACGCGACAAGGACGGCCGGCTCGTTGGAGCCATCTGCACGTGCGCCGGCAGATTCAGGTTTGTCCGCACGTGGAAACACAGAGTTGGAATTCTCCGGACGTGCGCCGGCAGGTTCGATGCTGTCCGCTGACTCATTCTCCGCACGTGTGCCTGTACGAGGGGAGAATGGGGAGCCGTTATCGCCGCGAGCTGCGGTACATTCGGGGGAGCGGGATGCGCGGGAGATGCGCGACGCGCGGAGCGCGTTTCAGGCTGAGGAGAGCGGCCGGCGCAGTAGCACGGAGGGAGCGGAAGGAGAGGAAGGGCTGCGGCGCAGAGGAGACGTGGGCAGCGGAATCGATGCGGGTGAAAGAAGCGGAAGCGGAGGGTTTGGCAGAGGGTGTGGGGGAGGACGGGGAGGCGGGCGGAAGGGACGAGGGGGACGAGGATTCAGAGGAGAGAGGGGAGGGAGAGGCGGGGGAAGAGGAGGGAAGGAGAGGAGAGACGGCGTGCAAGGTGGCGTGGGTGAGGAGGGGGGAGGGGTGGCGGGGAAAAGCGACGCGGAAATGCGCGTCTGTAGGTCTACAAGCGGGAGTGACAGTAACGGGGGCGGTAGCAGCAGCAGCGACAGTGGCAGCAGTAGGTGGAGCAGCAAGCGAGGCGGCAGCGGGAGCCGTGCAAGGGGTGCCGATGGCGCTGTTGCTGTTGCTGCTGGAGCTGCTGCTGCTGCTGCTGCTGCTGCTGCTGCTGCCGTTGCCTCTGGGGGTGCTGGTAATGCTGATTCTGCTCTTGTAGCGTTGGCTGGGAATGCGGCAGGCAATCGGAGGGGCCATGGTTTCGGGAATGTAACAAGCGTGGCGAGCGGTGCCGACGTGGCGAGAGGAGGGGCAGGAACGCGAGGTGCTCTGAGTATTTTAACGAAGGGAGCAGCGGGCGGGGAAGGTGTGGGCGGGGGAGCAGCAGGCGGGGGGGCAGCAGGCGGGGAAGTTGCGGGCGGGGGAGAGTGGGCGGAATGCGCGCAGCTGTACAGTCGCACCAGCAGCGCGGGCAGCGCTGCGAGCATCACCAGCAACGGGATGGGCGGCAGCAGCTGCACCACCCGCAGCAGCACGAGCAGCAGCAGCGGCAGCAATAGTGGCAGCAGTGCTAGCAGCAGCAAAAGCAAGAGCAGGAGCGGCATCACCACCACCACCACCACCACCGCCATCATCATCACAAGGAACAGTACCAGGAGCACCGTTAGTACCGTCAGCACCGGCGGCAGTAGCAGCTCTAACGGCAGCACCAGCGGCGCAACAAACAAATGCCAGGCTGGCCGAGTGTCATGTTTGCCGCCCAAAAGCCCCCTCTCTTTCCCCCTCTCCCTGCCCCTCTCCCTCCCCCTCTCCCCCTCTATGGGTTTTTCCCCCCACTCTCTCCCCTCCTCCTCCACCTCCTCCCCCTTCTTCTCTTCCGCCCCAACCTCCCCGTTCTCCGCCTCCTCCCCGTCCACCAACCCCTCCTCCCCTCGCTCCCCCTGCTCCTCCTCCCCCCCTGCTCTCTCTACCAGAACCAACACTGCAACTGCCTCTGCTGTCGCTGCTGCCACTGCTGCCGCCGTCGCTTCTGCCGCTGCTGTCCCGCCTGCTCCGTCTCTCCCTCTTCCAACCGCTCCTCCTCCTTCTGCTGCTTCTGCTGCTGCTTCTCCTGCTCCTACTCCTGCTCCTGCTCCTACGCGCTCTCCCCTCATCTCTCTCCCTTCCAACGCCACACTCAACGCCTTCCGAAGCAGCCCAATCCAGTCGCACACACCCCTCTCACTCCCTACCCAGCTGACTTTTGAGTCGACTCAAAAGTCACCTCCAATCCAGTCGCACACACCCCTCTCACTCCCTACCCAGCTCGTCACCTCTTCCCATCCTCCCCCGTCCTCCCAAGCCGCCTCCCCGTCCTCCCAAGCCGCCTCCTCTCCCCGAGCTTCCTCTTCCCGAGCCTGTCCGTCAGGCTTGGCAGGGGTGCTGCAGGATTGCCAGGAGGTTGTGTGTCGAGCCTTGGAGGACTTTGAGTCAAGGCTGGGTGAAATTGTGCTGGGCACTCACTCTCCCCCTCACTCTCCCCCACACTCTCCCCCACACTCTCCCTCGCACTCCCCTTCCCTCTCCCTGTCGACCAACCGCGCTGCTCCGTCTGCTTCCGCTGCCCCTGCTGCTGCTCTCGCCCCTCCTGCTGCTGCCAGCGATGCTGAAGCTACCACTGCTGCGTCAGATCTCGACGGTCTCTCTGCTGAAACGCGTGAAGCTACAGCACCAGCACCACCACCACCATCACCAGCATCAGCACCAGCACCGCCGCCAGCACCAGCACCAGCACCTACGGCTGCTGCTGCTGCAGCAGCAGCGGCGGCAGTAGCAGCGGCATCCCCTCCTTTCTCCTCTCCTCTCTCCTCTCCTCTCCCTTCTCCCCGCCCCTGTCCTTACGCCTCCCCGCTTACCTCCCCCCGCCCCTCTCCCCCCAGCTGCGCGCCCCCGCCATAAGATCCCCCCGTTCCGCCAGCGCGCAGGCGTCCCCCAGAGGGTGGGGGCGAGCGGACAGGGCGCAGTGGGATTATCCCAGGGGCAGCGCGGATGCAGGGGGGGCGATTTCCCCCCGGCCAGGGGGAGGGACGGGTAGGGCGCAGTGGGATTACCCCAGGGGCACCGCGGAAGCAGGGGGGGCGAACTCCCCCTATCCTGCCAGTGCGCTATTAGCGCCCAGGGGAAGAGCGGGAGGGGCAGATAAGGCGCAGGGGGCATGCGCCAGAGGCAGCGTGGAAGCACAGGGGGCGAGTTCTGCCGTTTCCGCCAGTGCACAGTTGTCTCCCCGCTCCCCAACACAGCATTCCCCTTTGCACCACTCTCCACACCCTTCAACCACGTCCTCCCGGCCCCTTACCTCTAACAACCGCTCCTCCTCTCCTCACATTCGCTCCCCGCACGCCTTGTCATCCCAACCGCGCTCGCCCCGCCTCCCCTCGACCCATCCCCTTTCTTCTCAACCCCACTCTCCCCATCCCCCGTCCCCTTCAGCCGCCTCCCCTCACCCCCGCTCTCCTCATCCCCCCTCTCCCCAGTCCGCCTCTCCCCTCCCCCCTTCCCCCCGCGCCACCTCTGGCGCGCCCCCAAAGTCCCCCCGCTCCCCACGAGACGCGCCTCAAAAGTCCCCCAGCGCCACACGCAAACCCTCCCGTTCCCCACTCAGGGCCTTTGACTCGTCCTCTCACTCGTCCTTCCAATCCCACTCCCCTTTCTCTGACGCTCCTGAAACCCCTTCTCTCAGGTCCCCCCTCTCTACACCACGAACGCCCCCCCAGAACAGCTCCTTGTCCCCCCTAAGGTCCTTTGAGTCCTCTCACATGCCTCACATGCCTCACATGCCTCACATGGCCCTTCACTCCCACTCCTCTTCCGCTCTGCTTCCCCCCTTCTCCTGCAAGCCCCTGTCCTCATCCCACTCCCCCTCCCTCCCCTCCTCCCCCTTCCCCTCCTCCTCATCGCTCCCCGTTACCCCCGCTTCTCTCTCCCGCTCCTCTCAGCCTCCCTCTCCTTCCCCTCGTTCCGCCACCATTCCGTCGCCGAAGGATGGCTTTAAGGCCAGTTCAGGAGCAGCTGGAGCTGTTGGGATTGGTGAGAAGCGGTACCTGAAACAGCAGGTGAGACAGGTGAACTCCCAGGTGAACTCCCAGGTGAACTCCTGGGTGAACTCCCAGGTGAACCCGCAGGTGAACCCCCAGGTGAACCCCCAGGTGAACCCCCAGGGGCAGGGCTACGTGCAACAACAGGTGAACCCGCAACAAGCGC